CACAGGGTGTCACATGCCTGAGGTGCAATATTGCCAGAGATCCTCTTTGCCCTTCCACAAGAAACGTGTCAGGTGCCAGGTGTATTGTACGGGAAGTATGTTTTAGCGAGCTCCTGCAAACCAGAGACTAGGCAAAAGATTGCTTTGAAGAGCTACATCATGTGTTACGGAGTAAGCATCATTTGCTATCCGATATTGGTGCTTACCTTTTTGGAAGAAAAGGTTTGACCTAACCTTCTGAGACATTTTCTATCCCCTAACACTCTGCCTTCACACTCAGCATGGGAAGCTACTGGGTATTTCCAGAGCTGTAGATGGCATGTCTCTGTTGCTGTGCTTGTCATTGGTGTAGTTTTTTTGTCTACAATCTGAGGTGATAGACAAAAGGAATTTTAAAAATCTTGTTTTCTTCTTTCTGTTTGATAAATTCTGTTATTTCAAGGAAAGATTTGTATTTCTGTTAGTTTTGGTTTAGTTTCTAGACCCATGTGACTGGCTTTGGTATGTTTTATGCAGCAGGTTACCTGCTTCGAAAAAATGCATCTGTGAACTATGGATGTGACATTAGCTAAGAGAATTTGCAGTGCATCACATGCAGTGAAGCAGATGGACTCTACGGATGAGTTAACAGTGATTCATAAGATTTTCTTAACTAATGGATTTTTTTTTTCCCTAAATGGCTTAAAAACCCCCATGCTTTGGGGAGGAGAGCTCCGATAGCTACTCTTGCAGAGCATGGGGTATTCAGTAAGGTCTACAGAGCAGCAGCTATAGCCTTGCAGAGGGGTAAGCATCCCTCTTGCACATTTAACTCATGCTACATTTTATAACAAAGATGAATAAGAAAACAGACACCCTCCCCCTCAACCCCAAATACCAATCCCACACCATGCTGTGAGAAGAGTCACAGCCCACCCTGTACTTTCTATCTCTGTTTTGGGCTCTTACTGCTTTCAAAACTTGAGCGGCTTCCAGTTTAGTCATTTCCCCTTATCAGGAAATTCAGATGAAATTACATTCCTACCGGAGGCTTTTAGAGGTATATAGGAGTCCTGTTTGCCTTTACAAGAGATGTATTTTTCTGGCATCTTTTCTTTTTTTTCCCAGCCAAGCAGTGGTCATCTGCTCACTTCCAGTGTCCACAACCCCTTCTGATTCTCACTGCAGAAGTGGCTCTGAAAATGAGCATTTTGTCTTGTTCCCCAGTCACCCAACCTTTTCTCAGGAGAGCAGAGACAAGGCGGGGAGAAAAGCAGGGTGAGCCTCCTCTCCACAAAGTTTATTGAGTAAGTACTTAATGAGCTTCCCATTATCAGAAAGAGGATCCACCTGAGACCAAATCTTTGCTAAACTGGGCAGCAAGAACTGTACCTGTCGTTAATTTTCTAAACAAAGTGGTCGCTGCCTGCTTTTAACTATCCCCCAGAAGAGTTGTCTGGATAAGGATCAATACTCATGAGATGAGCAAGCTACTGCTGTCTATTACCTGTGCCTAGAGCCTCCAATAGCTACCAGGGCCTGGCTGCGTTTGCTGATGATCTCTGCACCAAAACACTTGCTAAAAAGAGAAAACAAAGAGCAAAACAAAGGATGTCGGCTGGATCCCAGAGCAAGGGTGCAGAGGAGGAAACGGAGCCCTCGTCCCACCTGGCTGCGACGAGGGAAAGGGGAGGGACGGAGGCATCGCACCCGGACGGGGTGCGGAGGAGGCACTGAGCTCTCCTGGGGGACCTGGCACACATCCCCCCTTGCATGGGGGATCCTCTGCCCCCATGTCTGAGCCTCAGCTGTAACAGCCCACTCCTCTCCCACACCACCTCCCATTTCTTCCATATGCTCCCAGCTTCATCCCGCTGCTCGGCAAGCCATCGTCCTCTGCCGGAGCATGCCGAGGCCCTTAGCGGGGTGGTCTTCCTCGGGGCCCTCCTGGCAGCCTTTGCTACCTGCAGATGAATGTGCTGGTGAGGTAAGCAGGTGACACAACTCCCCTTTTATAAGGTTTGTGGAATTATTTTGGTGTTAAATCCCTGCCAGTGGAGCACACCCCCATCGGTGCTGTTTTAGGATCATAAACGATCCTGGGCAGGTCAGAGCTGCCAGGTCACCTTCACCAGAAAATAATAATTAAGAAAAAAAAATCATACCCGGATTTCCACCACTTTACTTGGCTCATAAGGGTCAGAGTCACCAAACCTGTGCTTGCCTGGGTGCCCAGCAACCCTGGTGCAGAGCTGCTGAAGCAGAAATAGCTGCCTGCCTGCCTCCAAATCCAGCCTCGGAGCAACCTCCAGCGGCAGCGAGCTGTTCCCGCAGACACGGCACTGATGCGCGCTGCCAGGAACCCCAGCGTACCTCTTCGACCGCAGAGCAACGCTGGCCCTCCGTCCAGACACATACGCGCAGAAATAATGTAAGACCACTACCATTTCCATTAAGGCACCAGGATAAAAATCTGCTTTCAAAAAATTAAATTGTCAGTACTTTCCCATGACTCATCTAACAGCCAAGATGTGCTTCTGGCACAAACCCAAACCTGTCATCCATTGAAGACACAATTAAAAAGAAAAAAAAAGGGGCAGTTATTAGTTTAAAATTTTGTGTGAACTTTCTGCTGGTTACTGGTGAAGCCACATGCTCATTGAGATTCAAGAATTAGTGAGAAGCCTCAGCACATGCATAACTAAGCACAAACTGAAGGATCTTTGCTACGTAGAAATAGAATTAACCCAGCACGTATTTAGCTTTGCAATACATAAAGTGCTTTATTGAGTCCCAGTCTGAGCCACAGTCCACCGACATCAATAAAAGATCTTCTGAGGACTTTGGGTTCAACTCACAGAAAGCCACCTCTGCTCATCTTTTACCACGATAGGCACACATGCTCTTGTAAATACTTGGCTACAGCTTACAGTAGCAACCCACAGGGTGCTGTCCCATCTCAAGTATGTCTTTTGTACTGTCTCATCTCAAACACTAAGTTTTCTGGAAGACACCTTGGTTCAGCCTACCCCTATCAAGGAGAAGCTTTTACCAATGGGATGTACACACTCTGCAGTCCAGTTTCACAGATATATTGCATGCAATAGGAGAAGTTAGTTATAATAAGTAAAATCAACACCACCAAAGGTAATCAACATTTTATTTATAAACATACATTTACTATAAAAGCTGTTGCATTTTAGACAAGTTTTCCTAATTTCCAGAGGCAATTTAGAATAAATAAAATAAAGGAAAGATTAGCATAACTGGTATTCAACATCAGCCCCAGCTAGGACAGCAATCCTTGTCCTTGAATGGACATGCAGGTAAGGATGGTCCCCTTCTGGTTCACCAACCTTTAGGACATTCACCAAGAACTACAGATGTACTGCATCAATAACACTACATAGCAAGAGTAAGGAAAAAATACACCATGGAAAACAGGGTTGTGAAATACAGATGGGTTATGACACCTGTTCAGGTCCTCTGAAGTAGTAAGAGGCTAAATAAATTCTGAAACATCTAAAACCCATTACATATATTGTATTTTCTCAGCAATAATAAATCATTTTTTTGCAACAAATACATTTACATTGTAGTTCAAATGTAGTAAAGCGTTATTTTTTTCTGTGCTCAAAGTTCCTGGTAAGAAATGTATCATATTTGTCTCTAAACTGGGAAAAAAAAAAGGGGGGGGGGGGGAGAAAAAAAAAATCTTAGCCTGAATGAATTTGCCATGTAAGACTCCAAAGGAAATATAAAATGAGACATAAGCAGTTGGCAAGTACAGTTTAGAAAACTGTTGAAAATTATTCTGTGCTGGTGAATAGATGTTCATTAGGGGGAAAAAATCGTTGTCTGAGAATGCTGCTTCAATTTGCTTTACATACAATCAACTTTGCTAAAACATGCATATATGCAACTAATTGATAGACACTGGGATCAACTTCTAAGCAGCTTCAGAGACCCAGTGGTGTGTCTGCAGTGCGATGCATACCCCCACCCCACCCCTTGCCCATGCATTTTAGTCCCAACCATGCTCCTAAGCCCTTTGGGCACGTACCCCTACGTGAATAAGAAGCAGATCTAACATCTGTGACAACCAACCCTTTTATACACTTGGGGACCGATTTGCACATCTAAACTCTATCACATGAGTGAAGCAGTGGTAGTGACTCATACCAAATAGACGCACAAGCATGCACGGTGTCATTCAAAAATTAGGCCCAGACATCAAATATTCACATATCCTTGATGCAGTGCATGGAATTATACAGATGTACAAAGTCAGTTATAAAATCTGCCTCTCGAATTTCCATGTTAGGCATTAGTTGTGGAAAATGTTATGATGACCACATGCAAAGAGTAAGCATCCTGGTTATCAAAACCCTTTAACAGTAAATCATGCAGATTGTTAATCAGAATATTGGACATCACTTTTATTTCCAAAACATTTGTCTGATTTTTTTATTGTTATTATTTTTTTAAATATTCCCCGGGTGAAGTCTACGAAGGACTTCAGCTTTTTGGATTTATTGCATCCAGAAGTCATCGCTGACTGTGTGCAACAGCTTTGCATTTTCTAAGGCACAATATTAAGGAAGTAGCATGTAACTTTCCAGCAGATAGTCACAATGTCCTCCAATGACAATATCGTACATGGGTTTTCAATGACATGCAGTTTTGCATGGGTATGCAACTCGCATGCAAGCAACTGTCTAGCATTTAAATAGATAGCTGCTAGCTAGAGAACAACTCAAAATTATTGCTTCCCTAATAACCACTTCATTTCCATTTACCAACACATCAAAAGACAATGGATGTGCATATACACATAAAATAAATCTCTATTAATTCATTTTTATCATGGTTTTAAGGCAGAATAAGTACATTTTTTTCCCCTCCATTTTAAGTTGCATTGTGAGCTGCTAAAATGGGATATTTCCAGTAACTGTTTAGCAAAAAGTGCTAGGATATTTTACAATTGTAACACACCCCCTAACCTTGTCTGTGTATTGCAGGTAAAGTGACACAGCTCTGACCGCTGTTTCAATGAGCTGCTGGATGACTTTAGTAAGGAGCCCATGCTTAATCAAAAAGCATGAAGGAAAACTGGCCCAAACACAGGCAAGTTAAAGTTTTTTTGCCTAGTGCTGCCAGCCTCCTCCCTGCCCGCCTTCAGCACTCCTGGGTTTGGCTGACTTTATTGGGGTAGCATAGGAAGGAACACAGGCTCAAGGCTGTTTAATTCCCTGCTCTGGAGGGCACTCAAACCACACATGTTTCTCCACAACAGATTTCAACCAACCATAATGTTTGCAAATGAACAAGCAGCTCTGAAACCAACTCAGACCGTCAATGGGCAAGTTACACGCCAAAGAGAAAAGCTTCACCATAGCATCAAACCGCAGCTTGGAGACTCACAATTCGGCTCTGTCCGCCCACTCAGCCACCTCTCCCCCACATCACCTTTCATCGAGTTTAATAACAACATGGGCTGCTGACTTAGTAAGAAGGATTGCTCCTAATGGGAATCTTGCCGTCGTTAACGGTATACAGTCTTTAGGTTTAATGAAGAAATCTTTATTTGAGAGAATATTAAGCTATAGTCATGAACATTACTTGAGGTACACAAACAAAAAAATCCTATCACTAAAGGTGCAATAATTTATTTGTATAACTCCTACCCTCCACTGAAGGTCATATAAACACAAAATGCTTCAGAATTACAGGATGTATTATCAAACTAGTCTCTGTATAAAAAAAGTTATAGCTTCAGTCATAACAGAGAAGTCGTGCTGTGATGTTTAGTTTTTCAAATGCACTGATTAGATACTATCTTAAAATTACTTCTCAGCTCAAGTTGGCATATTCTATAAAGGTTCTGTAAACTTAAACTTTTTAATTCCTAGAAATATTAAAACAAAACAGCTTTATTGCATGTTTATTTTCTTATTACTTTCAAAAGAACAAGGTAACAGACTGGAAATCATAAGCATACCTGAAAGGTGGGATTTTTTTTTTATAGTACTTAGGCTTTGCCTTCCCAAACATGGTCATACATATTTTGCAAATTTCTTAAGAAAGGGAAAAACCAACATACTGCATTTTAAAAGAGCAGGTGCAGCGTTTTTATGAGTTTTTCAAAATGAGATGAGAGCCATGATGTCCATGGATTCAAGCTCTTACAAGTGATTGTCTGGAGGCAGCTGATACATATGAGAAGAGAGTTCCTTCTTGAAAGTTATTAGGACTGAAAGTCATGTCACAATGTAGTTGGCTGTCCAGCAGCTGGGTAAAACAAAACCAAAACAAGTCATTAGTTGACAAATTTTAACAAACATACATAGGCTTTTCCTCATATGATCTCTACAATTCAAAACAAACACATCTGGAAATATGTATCATTTGTGCCCTGCTCCTTCTTCCTCTTGCAAAACTGGGGCACTAACTGCAAAGAAGGATTCAGCGTAACTCCAGTGGAAATACGTTTTCCATGCCACAGACAAATGCATTCTGCATGCACTTTTATTTCATTCTGCTCCCAAAGTACTTGCGGGTATATTTACTTTCAGGCTCTGCAGTGGCAAAATAGTATAGCAAAGGACTGATGAGTCATCTTTAGCTGTGCCTGGTTTGTGTTATGTGGTAATACAGAGCCCTCATGTTATTTGGCTGTACAGGGAATCTCATGAATTTCCTGGCCTTTGACTTTGACACTCACAAACCTTTAACTATTCCCCATGTTTGACACTGAATACCAAGTTCCCTTCATTGTGAGGTTTTGCTGTAGAGAAATAACCTACCAATAAAACCCCATCCACTTTTATTTGAAAAACAGAAATATTTTGGATCCTGAACCACTATGTAATCTTTAATGCTCTTCTCTCTTAAGGTTTTTGATAATTTATTTTGAAGCTGAATCATCCACAGTTTCAAATAAGCTTCTGGCAGCCAAAATATTTCATCAAGATGTCCATAAGCATCTCAAAGCAACACTGACTAATTCTGGGTTGGTCAGAGACCATCAGTTGTGCTCACTACTGCACAGGTTTTCAGATGTAGCCACGGAGGCAGGAAGGCACGAGCTGTACAATCAAGCAACTGATTTTATATTTAGCATCAGATTGCCCAGAACTGAAAGGCAAAACACTAACACTGCACCAGTTTGTTCTTCATTTCAGTTGTGGAGTCTGTCAAATTCTAGTTAAAAATGAGCAACTAGCCATATCTGCAGTTCTATCAAAATCAGTCCCTTTGAAACTGTCAACAAGAGCCAGTGTAACTTAAATTCCACTAACTCATATTTTGAGATTTTGCGTGAGGAGTTAACACAGCAGGAAGAGGCAATTTGTAGGAAAAAAGACAAATCCTTGCCGTTATTATTCTTCAGGAACCATGCATTTCCTCAAAACCTATTCCCTCTGTCATGGACCTGGTTACCGTTGTGCTAGGTATGTACAAATGTAAAACCTTACTGCATGAAACACTGTACACAGCTCTGTACTCCATTTTCTAGCACCACTGCTGTAGAAATGATGATGGAGGGGGTGATTTCTACAGCATATAAGCTGATAAATAATTTATTTGAGCCTTCATCTACCCTTAAGGGACCTCAATTTTTATTTAAGCAAAAAGGATTAAGAAGAAAAGGAAAATAGGACTTTTATCACCTTCCTCTCTTTTTTGTGTAAAGATGGATGTGCAAATGTGGATTTTAAGGGTCAGGACCTCATCCACATGAGGAAGGTTTATAGTATCAAGCCTAAAGGGAAAAAGCTATTTCTAAATGTGTCAGGTTAAGTAAATAATAATAAAAAGTTGCTAACATTTCTTAGCAGAATTTAAAAAAAAAATCACCAAACAAATGGTTATACAATAGCACCCTCTAGCTCTGCTGATGGGGAAATATCTCTCTCCCAAAACATTAAAAAAACCCCTCTCTCACTGCCTTTGAGAGAAGGGAAATAGTAAGTGAAAAGAGCTCTATATCTCCACTATCAGTTAGGACTGTAGGCAGTGAATATACATTTAACAGGAAGGCAACGACTACTCCCGTGTTTTTTTCCTTCATCCTACTGTTTTCCACAAAGTAGATGCCAGCATGAGCACTGCCCATCTCATATCACTGGTGACATCGGAGTGAAGCTGAAATGCTCTAGCAATTTGGTATCGGTCACAGAAATCCAGGACTAGGAAGGACATTCAAGTGACCTGCTCTAGGGCAGAAAAATGCATCAAGTTTTTTTCTGACATGCCATTGTCTGGCTCGTTTTTCAAAACTTGCAGCTAGCAACACTTTAGCATATGTCTGGGGATACCACCACAAGGATTCATTAAGAGTTACAGAATGTTCCTAATATTTTACATGACCATTTTGTCCACAAAGGGAGGTCTGGAGACATAAAAAATGGGACTTTCTCCAAACAAGGCCCAGGGTCCTAGATCTAGTAGAAGTAGCCACATTGTCTCATGTGATGTGACAGATCCAAGCCTCCAGGACACACAATATGTGCGCACAGTGTAGGAGTTTATATTTATGCGCAGAAACAGACTTTAAGTCTAATACTGCTGAGCAGAGATCCTCTAGGCAAGATTTAATGGTCTTGGAAATCTTTAATCATCCTCTTGCATCAAAAAAGTGGCATGGAAAGGTTCCCCTTCCCATGGCGAAGCTAAGCCTGAGTGGCAAAGCCAGGAGAGAAACCCATCAATTAAAACCATGGCAACAGTATTGTTAGAGTTCACCGTCCTTCGGACAGGATTTGGTACTTACTTCTGGACCGGATATAACAATCGTTGCAGTTAAGAAGACCATTTCTAATCCTGACATCTGTCCCACTTGCTGCGTCTCCCAGCTGTCCCTTGCAAATGCCACACTGTCAAAGAACAAAGAAAGTAAGACAGACCATGCCCTACTATCTGTCACAACTCTTCCCAAATTTTGACTTTTGTTTCAATAGTTCTTGGAACAGTGAGAAAAAATACTCCCCCAGAACCCAGCCCACAATCCTGGGGAGCATTGCAAATCACTGAAAGGCTTTTTTTAGAGCCAACAGTATTTAGGACTGGATTTCAGCAGTATCCACTTACACAGAAGTGAAGTCTAGTGATTTTAAGGGACATGTGATTTTAAAGTTGCATTCTGGAGCCAGCCCATTTGTGATGGACAACACTTAGAGGGGCCAGAGGCTTAAGTCTGGCTAAATGTCTAAAACCAAAAAAAGGCTTCATGAATGCCTAATACCAATTGGGCCAGAGATAATGGAAATGGACACTTCCTGAGTTCTCTAGAAAACACTATCTTGAGTCATTTCCAGTCTGAAACACTCAAGAATTCAAGAAGTATTTCTGTTGAGAGCTCTGGTGAAAGCCAGAATACATCATCCATTCCATGGTCAAAGCTTTCCAACCATGGGTCGGATCAAAGATGGCTTCAGGACTGACCGGGCTTTTGGGGGGGGGGGGGGGAAATCACAGGGTAACTAATGTTACATTTAAAAAACAATGAGTACAACAGGGAAATTATATAGTACTTCCTTCTGTGAGGAAGCTAAGTTTGCTTGCTAAATCACAGGGTTTAGTCCAATTAACATGTCTGACAGCAAAATAACACATTAGCTGCATTACTTCCACTTCTCTACAAACACACACACACACACAAACAAACATACATAACAAACATGCAAATACCTTCCTCTCTCTTTCAATTTCACATCTACAGCCCTCAATATACTCTCTCCTTGCACTGGGCGTGACTTGAGATTTTTCTTAATAAAGCAAGAGACATACCCTGAAGCACTGAATATGGAAATAAAGACCAAGTGTTTCAATAATCATGGCAGCTCCTTTTCCAAGAGGAAGCCCACAGGTAGAACAAAGCTTCTTTCCGCTGACGGACCTAGGAGACAAACATGACTTTAAGAAAACAGAACAGCAACTGATGCTAAAATGTAGCCAAATGTTTACACAGGTTTATGGAGAGGGACGGGATGGGAAGAAGGAGCACTGGGTCGTTTCACATAAATACAGATTGGCCCTTCAGCCATGTTGCTGAATCAGCCTGCGCACCTGCCTCACAGACAAGCACGCAGAAGACATAAAAAGCTTGAATGCACAGCAGCTCAGACCCATTTCCCTGCCAGTCTGCTGTGCTAGATCAAAGGAGGTGCAAGCCTCTTAACAGAGGCCTGGATGGCAGGGAACCATGACTGTGGATTACCTAGACCTAGTCAATGCCACAGCAATCAAAGCAGATATTCACACAAATTACCCGAGTCAGACTCCCAGCCTGGAAATTTTTCAACTTGTTTGCAAATGGGTTTGCTTACTGTAAGTCAGAAGGCAAGGATGCTGCTTTCACACCCAAACAAGCTGGTGAAGTCAACAGTAGCAGCATAACTGCAGAGGCACAGACCAGGCACCAGGCACTTGCTAACTAATTTTAGTCTATGCTGCTGCAGCTACATGCCTGGCAGTATTACAACTAGTTAAAGCTGAAATCAGATCTCCATCTGCAATGCAAAAATACTTCAACTCTCTCCTTAAGCTTCAGTCCTGTCTAGACCTTTCTAGTAAATCAGCTGTTTGATGACAGCTGGGTGAGAGCTCAGGGCCCCAGGACTAACTGGGGCCCTTTTTCATAATGGTTTTAATAGCAGTGCAGGCGCACACTTCTGTGTGTTTCACGCTCCTCCCTTCTCACCTGTCTGTCAGCCTGCCAGAACTGCTGTTTGTCTAGTGAGATGAACCTGAGACCAAAAGGGATCCCTTGTCATTATGTGTCATCCATGCTTTTTTCATTATGTGTCATCCAGGGCTGAAACCAGGAGAGGAACTTTGGGATACTTAATGAGTTTTGAAAAGATGGTTTGATGAAATTGTACACAGATAAGCAAGTTTACAATATCTTGCGTTGTGGTTTTGGTGCAAGAACATAATAAGCCACCAACAGAGATAGATTGGGACTGCATTACAATAAAAAAGCCATTTTGAAAAAAAAGAAAAAAAAAAAAAGAGAGAGAGACAGAAGCAGCAGAAAGACTCATCGCAAACAGAAAACTGTCCTTGCTTCCATCTCGTCTCTGTCACTCCTGAGCCCATCATTCTTTATCCCACCATGTACACTGACAGCACAGACGCATCACTGTCTTGTTGCTTCATTCTCATTATTCCTTTTAGAATAATTTTCCTGGTTTCATCTCCTCCCCTACAACCTTAAGCCTTCTGCTCACATCCCTCTGCATTATTCTACATACCACCTTTGTTTTCACTTCCTCTCCACTTATTATAAGGACAAGTTATAGTATTGGATCAAAGACTTTAGTGCTTCAGGAAATTTTTTAAGAGACATTTTCTAATGTTTTAGGGGAACGATGAATTACATCCCATCCATTGTTTCCAAAACTAAGATTTATTTCAGGAAAAGATCTTGAAAAAGGGTCTCAGATCAGAATACAGCTACTAAATAATACTAAGTAGCTATCACAACCAGCTACATGTAGCAAGAAATGATCTGCAGTCCCATCAAAACTGCAGCTACAATTAGAAAAAACAGAAGAAATTGTTCACATTACAAATTCCCAATAGTTTCATGTCAATACAAATGGCATCAGAAGGAGGGCTTTGCTATGAAATGTGAAGAAAAATGTTATTTGAATAGAACAAAAACTTACTATGTTTTCTGTGTTGTACTACTTTACCCTATTTAATAAGCCAACTGATTTTAATACACCCCAAATTATCAGTGATTCAATCAGGCTATAGTTAGCATTTATTTAGAGTTGGTACACACATCTCACTGAAAGCTGCACAGCTCACTGCTTGAGAGAATCAAATCTCTAGGAGATTAGCAGGAATGTAGGCAAATTTAAAAAAAACAGCAAAAAAGCAAAATGCGTTTCAAGTTTGGAAATTAAGGGAAGGATTTCTTTTTAAATCAGCAAGTGTTGAAATATGACAATGTCTAGAACATACCTTACTCCTGAGCATGTGACTATTCACAATGAAGACAACATCCTTTGACTTAAGTGCTCTGAACTCACACTTAACTGCTTACTTTGACTGGGCTTATATGGAAATTTCAATGATCAAGCAGAGTCCTACAGCTGCTTTCTGAACTGTATTATTTGAAAATATAACAATGCTGCTGAAGTAGGCAAGAAATACGGGAGAGGGAGCTACATGTTTATTCCATGGACGGTTATGAATTACAACATTTAGAAGAATTAATAGTGCATCCACATAACAATAATGTGATTTACACTGCGGCAGTTCACCAGCAACTACAAGATGTATTTGGTCTGCAAAATTCCTTATTGACCTTTTGTACCTGTTGGGTGACTGACTCGGAGCAGCAGGGGAGCAGGGAGACGATGGCCCAGATCGGAAGTTCTCATGATAGCCTGCCCTAAAATACAGGAGAGAAGATGCATTACTACAGCTGAAGAACAATTAGGAACAGGTTTTGTACGGGGAAATTCCAGCTGGTGGATTTCAGGGTTCGCAGCTCTAAAGATTTTATCTAAGGAAAAAAAGGTATCAATTTGCTGTTCACTGCCATTTTGATACAATGAAAAATAGCACTCATTTTTTGGTTCTGACTCTTGGTCTGCTTGCTATTGCTCAACCAGATAACTCACAAGGTAATCAGCCATGTGCAGACTCCTACCCACCTATCGACCCAGCATAGCTCCCACCATGAAGAAGGAGGGTTAAGCCAAGGCACACCACCTTGTACTCTCTGTTGGCCAGGGGATGTGCTCAGAAGCACGCTGGTAGAGCAGATGTAGGGTTGTTGATGGAGGGTCTGTGCCCTTTACCGAGTAAAAAGAAGCTACCAACACTGAAAAGTGGTTTATTACTATTTGTATCCATTCTACCCTGCAAGAATTTGGTGAGAAAAACCATGCATGTGTTTTGTTATCAGAAATCATAGGATTGATTCAACCTTTCACTGCTTAAAGCTGTTCACGGATTAAATAATATTCTCAAACACACACAAGCAGTTATGAGGAAAAGGTAATCAAACCTCAATCTACATTAGTTTTGACTGATTCAAGCTTCACAGAGGTAATACATTTTACAGGAGACTGTGTTCATATATATGCTAATGAAAACAGATGTTCCTTTCTCATTACATAGATACACTTCTTGCAAATATTAGGAAAGGAGATCCCTTGTTTACTGAAAGAACTGATCTTACGTTTTAGTAACGCTTACTCAAAAACACATGGCAAAGCATCAGAGAAGAAAAAAACCTTACCAAAATTTACAGAAAGAAAATACTAAGGTCTACGTATCTTCTTTTAAAAGCTATAATCCTTAAAGAACTAGGAAGTAGCAATCAATGTGTGTTTGGAAGCTAGGGAACAAAGCTCTTGGATACCAACTTCAAAGAGGCAGACTTCACCTGACATTCCCACCCTGGTATTTAGCCACTTACTAGCTATAAATGTTTGTCTTGGGCACTTAAAACAAATGAAGCACATGAACAGTTACGTAGATAAGTGTTTAAAGAGCTAAGGAGAAAGAATACAGAAAGTGGCAAGCAGGGGGTTTGCTCCCCCATGAAACTAGTTACTGAGGTACCTGTAATGAGAAAGTGGATAAATATTAGCAGTCTTGGTGGGAAAGCCAGGAATCAAAGGTGTCTTCACACTGCAGGACTACCCATGAAATTTAACTGATAAAGAATGCTGAGTAGGAATATAAGTCAGAACAGAGCGAGCAGGACTTCTCAATCTCTGCAATAACCTTTATTTTACGTTCTCACCTCTTCGTTTCCCCTGTGGAGCTTGGCTGTTGTCCCACACTCTGGCCCAGGAACGGTCTCTGCCGAATGTCCTCTGTGTGATGTGGGGACTGCTTTGTCAGCAACTGCTGATTCCAGGAGATGTCTACAACAGGAAGTGGGGAAATATCAATACCTGAGGAAAAATGCTTTTGTCAATACTTATAGACCAGCATAACTTGTGGGCACAGCATAAAGGAGACAAGAGATGTACTGTTACTTAAAAATAAGTTCTCAGGAACCCCATGCAAAGTCAGAGACAGGCTCTGCTACACCAGAAGTCCTCTACGGAACAACATTCCCCTACATTACCTTCACATACACGTGACCTACCCCGCTGCTGAATCTCAGTTTCTGAAGGGAGAAAGGGTGAGGTCAAACAGCTGTCCACGAATAGCACTTGGGAAAATAACGTATTTCTGTCGTAAGGAAGGAAGCACCAGAGAGACTGAAACTTCTTGGGTGCCTGGGGATCCAAACTTCTCAATAGCAAGAGTTAAGAGGAAGGTGGTGTAGTCACTGCTCTCCAAGAGCCTACTGATAAACAGTAATTCCCTTGTAATTACCTTCTGTGTTTCAGATGGTTGCACAAGGCTCAGTGACAATAACAGCCTCCCAGCAATATGCAATGATCTGTGTGATGCCCAGGCAGCCAACCATCCCATCTTTGAGACAGAGCACACTACCTGGATCCTTCCAGACGAATTTTGTGGCTCACAGGCTGGGGAGGAGCCTTACCCTGCCGTGCGCCAACCAGTTGGTTTAGAGAAGAAAAACTTTACTGGGGCCTATGAAAGGCCTGTTCACTATTTTTGATATCAAGACAATAAAACTCTAGTCCTGACTATTTAAGGACTTAAGAAAGCAAGGATATGATGCTTTAAGGGGCAAGAAAGGAGCTGTCAGAATACTTGTAGGGGACCTAGTTGTTGAAAACTAGTTATAGAAAAACCCTTATTAGCAAAAGCAGTTAAAAACTGTCAAACCTTTGAAGTTTGCTTAATCACTACTACAGATCCACAGGGATGGATTGCTGGGCACTATCTTTTGCTTTCTTTATTTGAGTAACCTTTATCAAAGCACTAAGAATACAATAAAATTGAGACAGGGAAAGAAAACCTGCTAAGTTTAATAAACTGAATTTGCATTTGGAGCAAGTAATTACACTGAAACCTTTTCTATCCATAGATGTTTCATTTTTTAGAATCATCAATTTTTATGCTAGACTGAAAACAAAAATCTAAAACTCAATTTAAAAATCAACATTTGCTTTCTGTCTGTAGTCCTACTTACTTACTTTCCATTGTTCACTTGCATTAGATAATGATGCTAAATTAGTGAATTTGCCTTTTTTTAGGGTGAACCTGTTGACAGCAATGCTTTGGGGAAATTCCTTCATTCAGAAAACATCAATGCTTATGGGAACTTAAAAAAAAATCTATGAATTTTAAATGTCATCAGACATTTCTAATGACAAAATTGAGACAGGTGTCACTTTAGGCTTGGCTTGAAAAGGTTGCACATCACAGGCAGTGATTTTTACTGGAATGGACATAAAGAAACTAATTAGCTATCAAAACACAAAATAAGTGTTGGAAATATGCTCTCTGTATCAAGATAAATCCTATATCTATGTAAGATTATGTAAAAGATGGAAGATAACTGTGTTTGACTACTACTGTGAACAGGCGGGCCTATAAACGAGACTCCTACCTGCAGCTGAAATGCTCATCTCTGATGAAAACAAGATTTTAAATTTCACCTTAACATATTTATCTTTGCTAACAGAAAACCACTGTTGAGTCTGAGACATTCAGATTTTGAAGATGTATGTGTACTGTCAATTTCCAAAATTTTTTGAGTTAGATTTCTCCGAGATTTCTACCTGGAAAAGAATACATACATATGAAGAGTCTTGACTCTCACCCTGAGTCAACGGCAGATTCAGCCTGGCAGGCGAGCTGCGCTCCATCACCGGCAGCTGGTGCTCCTGTTCACCTCCTTTCAAGATACCCGTCTCTGGGTGTCCTGAGAGCACTTTATTTCCACTGCCAATAAAAATAAGTCACGTTGTATAAATAAAGCCGGGAAAACTTCCATCTAGAACATAATGGCAAAATCAGACTTTTGAATATCGGTCTATTTTTTGCAAAAATATTTTTGTTATTGTGTCAGCGATGACAAAGCAATGAAGATAACTGTCATGAATTAACAAGTTCATCTCCAAATACGCCAAGTCTTCCTGCTTACCTCACACACTGCCACTTAGATGCGCTAAAGATCATTCTGGATTTGTAGAAAATGGCTTCTCTGCTCGAGAAGCAGCTTTTCTCAGTGTTCACTATACAGTGTTCAGCATCATCAGATGCTTGTCGTCTTTGCGAAAGCTGTTATTAGCAGCTGGGCAAAGACCAGGACTTTGAACACCATCCGGCAAGTTTGGGTATGGCACTTCCGACATAGCCAGGCAATCTCACACAGATTCTGAGTGAAAACAGCTACTGCTCCTTTATTCTTCCAAATGGCTTGTGAAACTTGTACACAAGACACAGTGCAGTGACATACAGAGATGTCTGAGCTACCTAGGCTCTGATCTGGTTGATGTGACAGCCTCTTGGCAAAGCCACATACTGAAAAGGCAAGCCTTCTGATATGCACAACTAGCACTGCACATTGCCATATATTAGCAAGCCTGTGGCAAATATTGATTGGGTTATATTACACCTATCACCAGGCCACCAGATGCTGATTCTCCAGCATCAATCATGAGCAGATGTGACATCCCAGAAGTCTACAGAACACAAAGCTCCACAGGGCTAAGAAATGCTTAGGCTTGATCCATACCTCCTCTTTTCTTGCCAGAGTTCATTTTCCTTGCTTTTCAGAGATGGCATACTCTCCTGCTCCCAGAGCAGCTTTTTCTGCCTTGTAACTTCTTTTTGTTTGCCTTCCTCCGGAGAGCTGTTTGAATCAGTTGAGTTCTAGAAGATAGGAGGGGAGGGAACAAGGAGCTTCCCTTGAATTCGGCATCAGCACACGCAGGGGAAAAGCACAGGCTGCCCCCAGATATATTGTGTTGACACACCTTATTATCATAAAGAACATCTCACATTATACAGTGGAATCATTTGACCTTGGTAAGGCTAACTTTGGATTTAACAAAGACTTCAGCTGAAACAATCAACCAATTGGACTAAACTGAGTGTGGAAAAAAAAAAAGGTAGGGATGGACCAATTACGAGATGCTGTTCAGGATGACAAAATAAAACTTCCCACTATGTATTTTTGGCAGAAATCCTTGAATGACTTTGAGAGTCTAGACAGTCTCCTACTGGGCTTCGGAGGACTATGTGAGGGACCTCAGCTTGTTGTCTCTGCTTGGGGGCAAAACATTATTCACATGCACTGGGCATCCTCAAATGGCAACACCAATACTACTTCCAAAATGGTACTGGAGTGGGTCCTACCTGACTGGTGGAGCTTGAGTAAGCCATGGCATGAGATCCTTTGCTTCTGGGTGCAGGCACTGCCCTGAACATGGCATAAGCAGCTCCACCCAGGAAATTACTGCTATGTGGAAAATGGGCCATGGCTGGTGCCCCTGCACAGGGATGAGTGATAAGAGGGGGCAGGAAAGATGAGAGGAGAACCTGATGCTACAGTACTCCTAATCCTGGAGTTGAATGGAAAAAGGCAGATGACTTCTTGGGTGTTGGTGCCTTAGGCAGGAGAAAATTATGTCTGGGAATCCCCCATTTACTCTACTGAGCTCACCTGGGGTGTCATTCTCTGATCTCTGGCGAACACTTATTTAATTAGATGCTAGATGCATCGAGTTAAACTTTTTGTGCTGCATAAGTAAAGAAAAAAAAAAAAATCAGAGCGTAAACATTCCTCTGTTTTGCTGCTTTCTAGGAGGGATGGTGGGAGAGAAGAGGAGGAAAAGTAGGGAGGCAGGACTTAGTCTCATCTCAGATATGCTTAAAGCACTGTCTTACGCTCAAGATTTTGGATGCAGGGAAATCACTTCAGATTTTGCTGGCTTTGAGAAAGTACTTAAAACAAACAGGAAAAGGTGACTTTTTTCACAGCACCAGTTCAAGAAGAGAAGCAGCTGCAAAGAGAGAAAGTATCATCCTCTTCTCTAGTTGTCCTGGTTTCAGCTGGGATGTAGTTAACTGTCTTCCTAGTAGCTGGTGCAGTGCTATGTTTTGAGTTCAGTATGTGAAGAATGTTGATAACACTGATGTTTTCAGTTTCAGTAGTGTTTAGACTATAGTCAAGGATTTTTCAGCTTCTCATGCCCAGCCAGGGCACCTGACCCAAACTGGCCAACAGTGTATTCCATACCATGGGACGTCCCATCTAGTTTAGGAACTGGGAAGTGGGGGGCAGGGATTCGCCGCTCGGGGACTGGCTGGGTGTCGGTCGGCGGGTGGTGAGCAAGTGCACTGCGCATCATTTGTACATTTCAATCCTTTTATTACTACTGTTGCCATTTTATTAGTGTTATCATTATCATTATTAGTTTCTTCTTTTCTGTTCTATTAAATCGTTCTTATCTTAACCCAGGAGTTTTACTTCTTTTCCTGATTTTCTCCCCCATCCCACTGGATGGGGGGGAAGTGAGTGAGCGCTGCGTGGTGCTTAGTTGCTGGCTGGGGTTAAACCACGACACTAGTCCAAAATGGGATGGTAGCAGTTTGCTTGGGAGTATGGCTCTTCAGTTGTAAAAATATACAAGCTACAGCATTCTGAGATATCACCAGTTATGGAAGGGATCCAGGGAATGCTCTTACTCTTACTGTTCCCAGACTTTGTTAGCCTTTAGTGAAGAATGAAACTTTGCACCAAAGATGGCTTAGTCTTTATTGCCTCACTACTCCATGAGAAACTCACCGCTGTCTTGTTTCCTTCAGTGGTAGAGGAAGAAGAGGAGAGGAGCTCAGCAGAGTTTGAAGAAACAATGAATGGAACTACAGTATCCTCAATTATCTTACGTTCCTAAAAAAAGAGGATCAGGCCAGAGTGGGGGTTAAAAATATAGAATGTCAACTATGAGCATAAGAAGTAGAAGCATAAAGTTTGGCTATGCGTCATATTTAGATGGCAAGGTAAGAACCTGTGGTACCAAGAATAACGGCAACACCTCAATTTTTCATTTGCTTCAAGGTTTTGCACTCCCTTTCCTTTCACCATTACTAGCTTTGATATGGGATGTCCAGAACTGGAATATTCCACTTGGGATGGCACCACTGTTTCTCACAACACCATTCTATTAAATTTTATATAAAAATATAAAATTACACTTGGTACATGAGAAACTTATTCTGAAAGTTGAAAAAAAATTTCTTGTTCAGATTGCAAGTATGGCCCTCAAGCACAGATGATAAGACATCAATTTGTGTAATGCACAACTAGTCAAACTGAAAACATTAATATTTTCGAATTTCCTGCAATAATGACCCACATAACGACAGAAGAAAACCACTATCTTCTATATTGTTAGTATTCTACAACTGCAAGCTTTGAACATTTCCTGTGGATTTTTTTTTTTTTTTAAACCAAGGCCAGTTTACAAAATATCTACATGATCAAGCCCAAGGCAGACAATTTCATCTGGAGTTCCACCAAGTCCAGGCACCAAGTATACACCAAAGAGCAGAGCATAAGGCTGTGCCTCCGGAGGGAAGTCTGAGCGTGCCCAGACACAACCATACTGACTCACCCAGACTTGTACAGCAATCAGACTCCTCCACCTATGCGGAGGTTCTGAGGATACCTGTCTAAATATTTAAATATTTTTCCTCAGCACCTATGGTAGTGTTTAAGAGAAACAATCCTCCTGAGAATTCAGCCTTGAGAAGGCTTTTCATTAATTAATCTATGCATGGGATTTTTTTAGTTACTTGAGTGCATTTAAATACAAAAAAAAGTCAATAAACCTCCTCCTTTGAGCCTTATACCTCCTCATAGTATCTACGCTCCTCCTCTTCAACTTCTCTCTGGGCTTTTTCCCATTCCTCTTTCAGCTTGTCCTGCTCCTTCTGATACTTCTCCTGTAAGAGGATTCAAATACAGGTAAATTCAGTGCATTCTGTATTAGGAATAAATTCTGTAGTATCTCCACATTGAAAATGAACCTGCTAACAGTGGTTTAATCAGAAATAGGATGAAATTGGAAGACAAAAATTTGAAACATCCCTGGGTTTCAAAAAAAGCTTATTTTCCTCCTCTCCCCACTGTTTCTAGCACTTACATTTAACACCTGCAAACCATGGAGGAACTTTTAGCATACTAGAAGTTGTTTAATTTGTTAGAGGTTTTTAAATCTTTGGTCAGAAATGAAATTTATGCTCAACAATTTCAATAATTCCTTGTTTATTATACACTATCAAGAATTCCAAAAAGCTATCACACACCCCAAAACACTTAGGCATGGATTTTACAGGAAAAACTTCAGCAAAGTAGCATATAAACAAGCAGGTTTTGCAGATACTGGTACTAATTTAAGAGAGATGCCAGTACAATTTAATGAATGATAAATACCTGTGCAAGTTTAAAAGGTAAATGAATAGTGAGTAAAGGTTTGAAGAGGGTAAGCTTATAATTAGCTAAGTAGCTTATTTTCCTTTGTGATGGAATTATTTCTTGAGAATTGTTTTCACACAGTTTTGCATGAAAAATTATCTCAAAGAGATCTTTAAAATTGTTTGACAGAACTGGTTTGAATAAGGGGAAGAACAGTGACTTCCCTATCCCTTTTACATCAGTTCCAACTTCTGTTCAAATTAGAAACCACATCTGCCTAATCGAGAAGAGATGCATTTACTATTGAGAGAACACCCACATATGCCAGAAAAACTGTGATGAGAATTTTATACCATTTTAAGATGAAACAACTGTATTAGCTAAAAAGAAATAATCCCAAGAAAGTAGTAGAGACATACACAAGTCATTCTTAAAAGATGAAAAGACTCCATTTTATTATTCTCCATCCTTTGGTAGTTGTTTGCTCTTCTGTTATGTGGAGGAAAGATACGGTTTCTTTGGGACCAAACCTAATCACAGTTTCAAAAGACACTACTGACCAATGGGGAAATTCAAGTTCTCAGGGCCACTGTGCTTTTTCTAACTAGGACGCAAACTCAAACATTTTACAGCTTACTCTACCACTAGGCAAAACCTGTGGTTGTTTTGAGGGGGGTTCCCCCCCTCACAAAAAACCCCAAACCCTTTGTGTCTAAATTTAGCTTGATGTTTTTCAAGAAGAACCTCTGAACAAAGCAGAAGTTTACAAAACTCTATTAAGACCATCATTTTAAAGAAACAGGCATCAGGGTCAGCAAATTGTCAGTCTTGAGAAAGAGGCTCCAAGTAATTAAGAGTCTCGCAGTCTATGCTCAACATACTTTAAATGTAGTTGAGGACCAACATTTGGTTTAACTCTGCACTGGAATGCAGAACTAAGTCCTTTTGGTCCTTCCATGGAGTAGGGAAAGGAAATGTAAGAGCGCCCAAACCACAGAGAACATGTATGTATGCTCATTTCATCGTTCATCTGCCACAGAATTTGTTCAAGCATCCACAGGGGATGTCGAAAACATGACACGAAATGCCCAACTTTTGTCCAAAGGGACAATTCGACAGCTGAACCACACGGTGGAAGATATGTAGTTTCTTCCCTACCTGAAGCAAGCGTTCTTGCTCATGCTGCCACCTTTCCTGGCGCTTTCGCTCTTCTTCTGGATCCCAGGACCAAAAATTGAAACGCTTGTGTGAAGGAAAACCAAGCTATTAGACTTTGACACTACACTTCACAAGGCTACCAGAGAAAGATGCACTTCGCCTGGCCTGCCCCTAGCAATGATGTTAGAATGGGAAATTGAGAACTAGATAATGGTTCTCTCAGTTAGCAGACAATATTCTTAGCTTCATTGACGCTTGAGATTGCCCATAGGTATCCAAATGATAAAATAACAATTTCATTTGCAAAGAAACTTCAACTGGAGGGGAAAAAAGGAAAAAGATCTGAAAGAAAGGTCTAAGCAGCACTGAACAGAGATATCTGCAGGTACTCAAATTTAAAGAAAATATCTATTTTGCTTCTCTGTAATCTTCTGCGCAACATGCAAAGCAATTTGTGATTGTAAAAAATATTCTCTTATTTCATATGGCTGCCAGCACAACAGCCTATCGCCTTGTTTTAAATTTTTATCCATAATGAAATAAAATCTCAGGCTTCACTAAGGATCCCATTACATGATACATGTTTAAAGTCTTTAGAATCAGGGGCAATTTTAGGCACTTGATGTTCTATTCCTTTCCACTAAAAGATGTATTTGAATCTGATAGGAAGCGATGATGTCTATCTTTATGTGACAAACAGAATATGAAATACTGTGTACTTCAGAGTAGCATTTGTGGTGGTGGGTTTTTTTTTCATTGAGGAATCAGTAGAATTGTGGTCTCCTCTAATTTCTATGCATTTAAAATAGAATGGATAGTTTAGAGTTACATATTGTTTCGAGATTGTGAAGCTTTAGTGGCTCCAGCAGCCAAGTACCTTATAGCTACCATTCCCTCCAGATAAGAGGAGAATGCATAAATTCCATGTTCAGACCATGTCTTGATTTGGCTTGTATTTTTTCTCTCTCATTTCCAGGAGAAAAAAAAATTCTCATTCTCATTTGGGGATGTTACAAGACAGTTGCATAAAAACTTCACTTCTGCTAAACACGTATCTCTAAACCAAACAACAATGCAAAAAAAGTACTCACGTTTGATTTGTCACCACTATCAGAATCAGCTATTAAAAAAACAGAAAAAGATTAAATTTAACATAGCAAAATGCGCTTAGCCTGCGATTAAAGCTACATTGTATCTGTATAAAAAAGCTTCATGTTAGTTTCCTATTTGCTCCCACAACCAAACGCAAGGATGAACTGCAAGCAAATAAACCAGAAAAACAGATTATGCCCATCACCAACAGAACTACTTTTTATCTGGGTATAGAGCAGCACATTATTAGCTAACATCAGGTTCTACTCTACCACTAGCTAATGCCATCTACTTCTGGCCACAGTCGTTAGCAGTGTTCAGACACTCAGTGTTACCTACCTTGATCTACTTTTCCCTTCGTGATTCAGTGCAAGGAAGGAAAAAGCACAGCAAAGCTAAAAGGATGGGACTACACTATTCAAGAGCCACCACAGTTACGAAGAGAACCATTGCCATTTTCTATCCAAATGCCTTTGAAAATTAGGCTGATTTAAAGAAATTAAGGAAAAAGGTATTTATAGGCAAGTGATTTCATTTGGGTGCCTGAAACCAGAGCATCACAAGGTGCAACCCAACAGCTCTTTGTCAACTGTGCAGCAGGAATAGAAACTTTCTACGAAAGCGAGAGGCAGAACAAGTCCCCGTGATCATCAGCTTTCACCCCAGCCCCCACATTGGAAGACACCTACGACTGGAGGCTGAAGCTGGTCTCGGCGCCGCATTTACCTGACTGCGAGAAAAACTGTGAGCGCCGCCAGTTGTTGCGAACCCTAAGCGGAACCGTGGCCCCGCGGGGCGGCTCTGCAGGCAACGGCACGGAGACAAAACAAGAAACACAGCGCGGTCAAAAGGAGACGATGGACTCTCAGACCCGAGCCACCTCGGCCACGAGAGGGATTTTCACTACAGTCGCTTTGGCCCATCGCAGCTAGTTTACAACGGACCTGCAGATCCCACAGGCTGCCCATATTTAAATGCTGCTTTTGTAACATGGCACCGAACCTTACGCGAGAGCTCTAGCACGCTAACGCTAGTCAAGGGCAGCCACCCCTTCAAGTCTTTGCGTGGTGCTTGCATTCATACACATTTTAAAGGATTTTGGGATCCTTTGAGCACTGTACATGCTGTGAACACTAGAGAGCAGCCAAGTGTTTCAGCGTCACTCAGAAAATAGGCGAGACACCTACAATCTGTTACTTGACGTTTGGATTGATTCGTGCCTAACATAAAATGATATTGTTCTGAAAGACTGTTTGGAAAGCACCTCCTCACTTAAAACAACTGAGACTTCTATTCCTTTTCAGACAATCTTGTTTTCCACAGTGGATCACCTTCAGTAGTTTCAATCTTGAAAACACTAGGATAATCAGTATATTGCCTACACATAAACTAACAACCTAGTAAGTTCTCAGGGGGAAGGAAACTTCAGATGATTTTTCTTTCTCTTTCCTTCATGATACCTACATATATGCATCTCTAAAATGAACACAAAATCAAACTACTAAACGTTATCAGTCTCAAGCAAGACTTTGTCATAAAGGCAAAAAAAAAAAAGTTCTGCTTTGCAAGAACTCGTGATGGGCACAGGTCAAATTCAGGGATCTGGCCGGAAATGTGTATCGTTCATCTATGAAAAGGAGCTCCACATGAGCAGCCGAGTGCAGAATTTATCTCCAGAAGTTTTTATTGTGAGATAAAACCAATTGCTAAGCAATTTTCATCTGTGAGCAGCAGTACTAATAAAATGTAATACTCATTGACATAATACAACTTTTATTGCTAGGTCAGATAAGTGCAAGATAGGTCTCTCCCTGCCCCCCTCCATTTTTTTTGTGTCACAGTTCTGCTGTTGTGTTTAAGGGGAACAGCCAGAAGAGTCCTTTGCATCACACAAGCCACAATACCAATATCAGTAAGATGCAACTTTTTTAGCCCCAAAACCCTCCAGGTCATTCGTTAGGCACTTCTCCCTGAAGACCACATGCACATATTCAGTTACTGTCCAGCTGCTTTCTCCAAATGCTTTTTGCTCACCTGGTAGACCAGAATTCTGCAGAGTAACTTGGCTGGTCTCGGGTAATTTCTTTAAAAATGGCAATACTACACTCCCCTCTTGATCCAGGGCTTTTGGTTTCATCACCTGTTCAGACATTTGGGAGCAGAAAACAGCATTCAAAAATCAGCAGGTTCATTCAAAGGTTAACTTAAACTCTTTCTAGTTATTTTCTGAACGAACATTATCGAAGATGAAGCCTCTATCTCCAGAATTACAACATGAAGTTGGAGTACCGAAGTCCTGGAAGTAACTGGTAGCTCTTTGTTGTTGACATTCACACTGCCCTGCACACCAAAGCCAATCCTAACCCAGGACCAACTTCTAACTTACCTGACAGAGCAGTATGGTCATGGCCATTTGTTACCTCTGTCACCACCTGCACTCGTTCAGCAGTTCAAGAGGACTAAGAGGGTAAGCCCCACTGTCTACACCTTCTGTATACTCTGCCCTCCCAACACACGGTGGGACTGGCATTTGCAGGTTAAGTTCTCATTTCTGCTCCAGCCAGTTTACAGGTTTAAACGCTACGAGCAGACACTGGAGAGTTCCTTTGGAGGGGGAACTCTCTGATGACCATAGGATTTGGCAGAGAAACCATCCTCCAGGGTCATTCCCTGGCAGATTATTTTCAATGAACTCCCGAAGTGACATTATATAGAGAAAAATACCAACTTGCACAATAAACACTTCTGTGTGAGATCTTTCTTCTTTTTTTTGTTTTGTTTTCCGCTCCCTCTCCTTTCTTGCCCATACATACCTCTGGTGTAGCAGGAAGCTCTGCTTCCTTCTGCTGCTCCATTTCAGGTTTCTTCATATCTTTCTCACTTGAAACAGCTTCCTCTGAAGGGACAGGACTGGGAAGAAATTCTAATCTTTTCACAACAGGGCTGGCACAAGCTGCAGTTGACTTGAATTGCTTTTGATCTGAACCTAAACCCCACATATAAAACATAACATTACAAGGTTAAGATACTTTTTCAAATAAAATGTAGACCTACTTCTTGCAATCTAATTTCTTACTGGATACAGTGTGAGCCCATTTACTGGATGTTTTGAAAAAATAATCTTCTTTCTTCAACACAGGCAAAATTAATCTCTCAGAGAAGACAAGGCTTTACGAGTGAAATTCACCTGACAAAATATAGGTGCTTACACTTGACTTGGGCATCATGGGACACCCTTCATGGTCAAAAGAGAGGTAGTTCTTGGGGAAAAGTCACCCGAACTATTTCAGACACTCCTTTTCGGCTGAGGTGAGCTGTAACCTAAAACATGCCTACTGAGGTATAGATCTCTTTACTGAAGTTGTGTGATGAATCCTATCCTAAGGGGCTACCCAGACAAGTAGGTGTATCACAGTTAACACAGTCTCAATGTCAGCACTGGAGAATATTTCAGCTTGCCTGTTTCCACTAAACCACGTCAGTCAAGCATCAGACAGCAAACAAACTCTGCTAACAGGAAGCCTTGGACTGAAATAAGCTAGTTGTCACTCAGGTCCTAAAAAAACCCAACAAGTTGATGCTGGTTAGGGGACAAAGGACCAGGAGCGCACGGGCCTACAGGTGAGGACTGTGACAGCCAAACTACTGTCAGCTGGTACCACCATTGGAAGCACTGCATAAGCACCCAGACATCTTCCTAACCTCCTAAAGCAGAATCTCAGCTTCAGATTCTGTCCCCTCTCCAACCACAGCAGTAGTGGCAGCTTCTGAATGTACCTTTCTGGCAGGCTAGGACAGTAAGCTAAGAAAGAGATGCATCCCAAGGCTCCACTAAGAACGTGCACACAAGCAGAGGCAAGAGCTGCTCCTGCTGCCAGGCAGATGCACACCACTTTGGAGAAGTTCCCACACCATTAGTGGCACAGGGGTCACAGCATGGAAATATCTGTCTTGGACTAGACAGCAGAGGAGCTTGCTTATTCTACAAGAAGGTCACAGAGTTTGGACCACATCTATCCCTCCGAAGCAGATATAATGAAACCCCATGTTCCCTTACCATTTCAACTTTTGCAATGCTATCTCAGTTTTCCTTGCTAGCCAATATTAAACTTTGCTAGCAATCCTTAACATTTAGCATTTCTCACAGGTGTGGAGCCTGACACAAGGTGGCTCTGTGATTTGTAGATAAATATCACCCGCTCATCACTGCTGACTCTTGAGAGGAGAATTTGGTTGGTTCACCACAAGATTGCAGCTTCTACATTACCTGCCAGGTGCAATTCAAGATTGTTAACCTCTGTGCTTTGGCATCTGCGAGCCAGAGTAATTAAGTCACCTAATGAGCCCTTGCTAACAGCCCATGAGCTTCAGAGTCTTGCAGCACATCCAGAAAAGGCTGGATATGCTTCTAATCTTGGGGGAATTGATGTTTGAGGGCAAAGATCAATTGTTTAAGTCACATTTATCCTCACCAAATAGGAGCATTATGCTTATGTACCAGTTACAGCCAGAGATCTCATTTAAATACCTAGTTCCAATGGTATTTTTTTACTTACCCATACCAAGCTGAACTTTGATAGACCCGTTTTAAAAAATGAACAACAAAAAAAGACCATGAACTTAGTATGACAGCAGGCAGTAGATAAAACATCTACTCAAAGGTAATGCTTCAGACCCTTTTGAGGAAAATAGCTTCTAATTTTACCAGCAAATTCCTTTCCCCAGATTAGGAATCATGCATAAAGGCTTTAAAGCAGAAAATCAGGAGTGTGCACAATACTATCCATTTAAAGGCCCTACAAGGCCTGAAGTGCCCCTTCTTATTCTTCTTCCCCATTTCTTAATGTCTTGGCAGGGGGGTCGAAAGCGTTAAACAGAAGCTATTACCGACTGACAGTTTCTGCCCCGATTGCTTTCTGGCTACAACACGCTGTGGCGCCAGCTTCTCACTCACACAAACGGCAAAGCAGACAACCCGCGTCCTGAGCGAGGTGCAGCCAGGTGTGTCATCTCAACCACAGAATGCCACAACGGCCCAGGCTGGCAGGGACCTCGACAGATCAGCTGGTCCCACCTTTCGTGGGGAAGGCGATTGTCTAGCCCCCTGTTCGGTCGCACCTTGAAAACCTCCCGCCACGGGGACTCGACCACGTCCCTCGGGAGGTGGTTGCAGTGAACGGTTGTTCTTACCGCAAAAAATTTCTTTCCTAGGTCGGGCTTTTTGACATCTTCCGCATTTTCTAATAAACCCTCTTGGTGCCGCTGCAGATGCGCTTATCGGACTCCTGCTGCAGGGTGGGCTTAAACCCCAGCCCCACCGGTGGGCAAAGGCAGGGGTGAGGGCAGCACCAGCACCAGCACCACCAGCAGCCCCAGCAGCAACCCACCTGGGGACGGGCAGGCCGGGCTCCCAGGTCCCGCGCTTCCAGGGCTGGCCTCGACCTGCTGGCTGGCCGCACTATCCGCTTCCACTGGGGAGGCCTGCAGAGAATAACACAGTGAGTACAGTGGAAATAAAAGTATGTGTTAATTCCTCAAGGCGGCACTTGCTGCTTCTTTTAACGTGTTTGAACCAGACTGGTTTAGAGCTCAGCAGGGAGCTGGGGAGTACGTTTCGGAGCGGTATGTGCCGCTTGGGTGTTCAATCACTGGGCTTTAATCTCCTTTTCAAACCGTTCATCAGCAACCATCATGCCGTCGGTTTGGAATAGCTCCGACAAGCTTTTAAAATTGTAGGATATCTTGGATTGTGTTAGCTGGAGATAAGCATACATTTCACCCCTAGTTTCCTCTTCCAGAATAACACAAAAACGTATGCATTAGTGAACACATAGCACGTACTAGGGTTTGAAAAGTGGCAAAGCAATTAAATACTTCCTTTATTTCACGGTTGTCTAAACAATCTGTTATCTGAAGGGAAAAGCCAGAGTCAGTATTAAAGGTAATGAAATACTTAAAACACTATTAAGAGAGGAGTGAAAAAATACGGTGAGAGCGTATCCAGCCAATAATCCAAATCCCTTTGAAAAGCCAGCTTCCTGACCCAGGACAAGGCTGTTGCAGATCTAAAACCACACTGTCAAAACAAGGGTAGCACTTCGGCTGATCTATTTAGCAGTTTCCACCATACATCTGCTTTCCCAGTAGGCAAATTAGGAAAAATCTGCAGCAAACCCATCAGCCACCGCACAGTGCTTCTAATGCATGAAAGGTCTAGAAAATAGCACATTCAACAGAGGAAAATAAAAAAAGCAGACTACTTTTAGAAATAAAAAGTAACATATTTCAGAAATAGTCTATTGTAGACTTGCTTTCCTGTCCTCCTCCCACCTCTCCATCTTATTAACAGCTGCAAGGGAGGAAATCTGATGAAATTTCCTCTTTTCTGGGGACAGGATTCAGACCTCCACCTTCTGCACAGATCCTGTTTCCCATCCCCACAGACCCACGTGAGCCTAGGGCCCCTCATCCGTCCGTGCCCCGTGAAGAGCAGACCTGGGCTCTCACCGCTCGGTCATGGGGGACGTCTGCTGGCAGTGCCAACAGGACGCCAACGCCTGCGGACACGCTTCGGCTCCAGAGAGCTTGGCTGTCAGCAGTGCTCGGGAATCATCCCTGCCTCTCTTCTCCTCCCTGGAGGGAGGCATGCTCCAGAGAGGGGCAGGGAACGTGTCTGGGAAGATGCCCTGTGAGGAAATGGTGGGGACTGGTGTGGGGCCACGGCTGGGGGCAGAGAGACAGGCAAAGCCCAGCGGTCAGCGAGCAGTGCTGGAAACAACAGAAGGAGGCCACGCTGCCAAGGGCTGTGCCGTCACCTCACAGCGGGAACAGGCGCCAGATCACAGCCATGAGCCTCTGGAAGTGCCAGCGCGTCTCCTCCGGTGGCTGCTGGGGCTGGGTGCCCGCCATCCTCCCCACTGCCCGGCGCTTTCCACTGCACCCCTCACCTCCGCCTACCCTCATCCTCTGCCCCAAGCAAGGCACGGGGACACATCCCCCACCTGCCTAAAAGCGGTTCTTAAACTGGATGAGGCGGAAGGTGAAATACATGCTCCAAAAAGGCAGCATGGGAAGTTTGAGGACCTCCTCTCCACCACGTCCACCTGTGAGCATGCCTATACCAGGAGCAAAGCAAGCAGGGAGCTCCCCCTCCATGTGTCACACACTCCAAGGAGGGACGGTCACTGGAGATGAGGCGCAGGCTAAAAAATCCTCAGAGAAATACTCCAAAGACCGCAAGTCCTGTGTCCCAGAGACTGGCCCCTTGCCATTCTGTTGCTCTTTTCTCCTGTATAACCCACCTCTCCCTTCCCTAGCTTGTCTCGATGCCAGCCTGTGTTTCAGTGAGAGCTTCCTCACTGAAAGCCCCAGCAGAAGAACACTGCAACTAAAGAAAATTTCTCCTGCAGCTTCAGTTCTGGCTCCTGACACAACAGCAGCCAGGGGAGAAGCTACCGGAAACCCTTCCCAACCTTGCTCAGTGCAGAAATCAGTATTTCTTTTCTCCATGAGGACACTCAGGCCAGTGTAACAGGCTGTCCAGGCAGGTTGTGCCATCTCTGTCCTCGGAGGTTTTCGAGACTTGAATGATCAAGCCCTTAGCAACCCAGTCTGATCTCATGCCTGATCCTGCTTTGAGCAGAAGACTCAGCTAGCGACCTACAACCTGAACTATTTTGTCATTCGTACAACCTACAAACCTCCTCTGTTAAACCTAAACAAATGGCTATTTTCAAAAGCTCAGGGTTTGCCCTAAACAAGGTAGATTTTAACTGGAAAAAGCAAGCAGCACATACCTGAGAACTCTACCCACTGCTCCAAAGCATAAGCCCTTCCAAAGAAATTGTTGCAGATTTCAATTATTAATGTTTATATTGTTATTATTTTTGGTAAAGCAATGGAATTCACCCTCCACTCTCAAAAAGCAACTGTCCAAACTGAAAAATTAAAATAAATAAATAAATTAAAATTTCAGATTTAATCTCAATCTCAGAGGCTTTAAAGCTATAAACAGTGATAAACTGGGGCTGGTACAAAAAGTGTTAAACAGCGTTACATACACTCAGGGAAGTAAAGTGCCAAAGGCAGCTAGAGCTGGGAAAGAGCACAGCCACAATGGGCTCTCAGAGGGTTTAAAAAGCTCAGCGAATGCACAGACATGATGCACTTTTATCACCTCTGGGTCTAGAGTTACCTCATGAACCTAAACATGGTGCTGTGTCACGTAGCTATCCTGCACAAGTGCAATAACTAAATCTACCCATAACCTATATCCTGGAGGTTGAACCAGGTACAGACATAGATGTTATTTATAGAAATTCTTTCAAAGAGGAGTAAAAAAAAAAAAAAAAAAAAAAAAAAAAGCTACTACTTGCTGCAGGAAAACTGAATTTTGCAATGGCATGCTGCTGAAGTTCTGTTCCTGCTCATGAGACTTGACTCTTCCTCCTCCCTCTGCCAAGCAATTAAATGCCAGTGGCATAAAGCTAAAAATATAAAACTGATTAGTAAGTAATTTATAAAAAAATTAAGTCAACTTCACTGGGGAACACTCTCATTCCCACTATATCTAGTTCTATTTATAATACCAAGTAATGTAATATTATCTAGTATTTTATCCACAGGTATATGATACACTTAAGAAAATTCTTGTACCGATACAGCTGATAAAATGTCTTTTCTAGCACAGACTATCATCATTCACATTTCATAAATATTTTGTAATCAAATGATGATGTTATCACTGAGCATGAAAAAAAGGCATACAAACATTTCATTCTACCTAAGATGATCGTATTTTGACATGGGCACTGAAAAACCAAACAACCTGGTGAGTGACGTTTCTGAGGTGTTTCAGAGGAGCTCCCATGCTTTGGGATGAAGGACCCACGCAGCCTCTCAGCACCAACCCGCTGCAGCCACACGTGTCCATGCGGGCAGAGACGTCATTCTGCAGGACCACAGAGCCACTCTATACCCTGGCTCTGCTGCAGCTGTCTACAAGGGAAGGTCACACAACACCTGCTCGTCCACGGCCACAGGCAATGAAACCTTCAAGGGAAGCAGGAAAAACTTTGCTGCGTAGGGGCTGTGGTTATCTCTGCCCCCAGATCCAGGCTGGTGTGAAGACTGCCTCACTAACCCCCAAAAACTGAAGAATGCTTCTACTTGGATTGGTGTTTTTATTACCCCATGCATCTAGCCACCCACGAGTTAAAGTGAACTTCCCCATTTAGGATTTAGAAGCCTTGGTCCATGATGGAAAGTTAAATATTGTGATTGCATTTGCAGTTAATGACCACAAAAGTAACAGAGGACAAAGCAACACCCCAGGTCTGCTAACCAAGGTATCAATTTAACGAAGACACAAGCACAGCTGACTACGTAGTGTTATCAAACATCTATTAGGCATGAAAATAAATTAGTTCAGTTTGTGGCAGACAGAACTTTTATCCCATAAACTAGGACATCAGTCCAAGTATTTCTTTAATTAGGACCATACAAGCCAGAAATAGCCACATTGCCTATTGCCGTGGCAGAAACTTACATCCTTAAAAACCCCTAAAAATACAATAACTAGGAACTCCTAAAACACGGCACATCACAACTACTACAAGAATTCACACTCCAAAGGAAGTTACAGTAGAACTTTATTAACCCTTATTGTAAATTAAATCAAAATGTAGGTCAATTAACACTACTTGTACACAAAATTATGTGAAATATTGTTACTGTATTTTCTATGAAAACATGACAAAACAAGCTGTCTGGAAGCAGCGAGAATGCAGAGGTATCGGGAAGAATGAGGGTAGAAGTACAGTTTAAATTCTGTAAAATCACTCAGGGATGACAATAGTTGCAGTATCAATAGCCACATGTAGAAATTGCCTGGCACATCTTTCAAACTTCTGTGATTGAAACTGTACACTTATCATTGACTTTAAAATTTTCATACGATGATTTCCTCAGCAAAGCTAGCATCTTCGATTGCTGTGAGTGGTAACAGTGGCATGACCTTGGGCTGCCACAGCTAAGTGCCTTACGTGCTATGCCAGTGTAGTACTATAGCCAGAACACTGCTCTGACACGTTAAGTCATCTGCCTCATCTGGCAGCTATATAATGCTACACTCAAGCCAGCTATTATAACCAAAGATGAGGGCGGATCAGTAATTGACAGAGAAGCCTTGAAAGTGTTGCAAGAAATAGTGTATTCCTGCTAGTCGTTTTTCTAGAGTTATTACTGCTCAATTGGGATGTAAAATAAGCTCCTGTCACTCATAGACACTAAAAAGTGCACGGGTGTCTGGAGGACGGGAGACACGGACGCTAGATTCGTAACCAAATCCTGAGCAGAGTTCCCTTCTAGCTGCTTTGAAGCTTTGCTGCTCTCACTTCTCATCCTAAACCTTTCCCCTTCAGGTAGTCCAGCCCTCTACGCATCTTCCCATGTGTGGTTCAAGGCAAAGCTGTCAATCTGGAACAGACGTACTTACTCTACAAGTGTTTCTTGTAATGAATCAAAGAACAAAGACTTGTCCTACCAGATATGTACAAATCAGGATTTCAACCCTGCTCTCCTGTAGCTTGGCCAACAATCCCCAACCACAAGAAAGCTTATACTTTAATCTCAGTTCAATCAGTGGATTTTTGAAGATGAAGGAGAGTGTTACTTGGATATATATAAAAAGTTTATTTTGTGCCAAGCATGCAGTGAGTAGAAATGGGCAAGTTTAAGCTAGCTAGTGAAAAATTAAAAGAAAGCCACCATCACCACCCCACCCTGATCTTTTTAATGTTGCTGCCTATATTTATTTTCTTTTTGGTTGATCAGAGCAAAGCTATAATTAGGGCTATAACAAGCCAATAATTTCTAAATGCTCATACAAAGATTGGTTAAAATAAAGTAATGTTACTCACTGACAAATTAATCCCCCTACACTAAAATCTGCACAAATATTGTTTTAAAACAAAACAGTTTACTTTGCCAACTTCTGATTCAAAGAGCTAGAGGATACAACTTCTCAGCATTTGTAATGTGCGCAACTGTTCCGTATAATAGAAAGGAAACACAACCTAATGGCTGACAGGTAGGACCAGGGTGAGGAGATGATTCTCACGTTATTGCTGGCATTGCCACTGACTGATCAGTCAGTCTTTGGGCCTTTGCCCCTGTTTTTCCAGCTGCAATAAGAGAGGAGTGCTTCACCTACTGCCTCTCTTAGCAGCACCTTGCTCCACAAACACCAGTGGTATATATTCATCCTGCTTATAGGTCAAATTTATCCTTCCTAGCCTTAAATTTGATAGGCTACTTTGAGTCAAGGTAAGACTCTTTTAAAATCCGCCCCCCTCCCATCTAAGTATTCTACCTATACATTACAGACACAAGTATAGTTTCTTAAAAATATTTTTCTTTACCATCCTTCCCACCTGCTGCAGCTTTTTGCATCTCATTTCATAGTAGATTTAGGCAGGAGTTACATACGTTTCCCAATCAGTCTCTGACTGCCAGTCGTTATTTGATTCACATGTACATGGGGTTGTTCTCTATCAAAAAGACAACCAACGCTGTCGTCTCACCCATACGAAATGATCCCTACACTTCTCTAGCTCCCCCAAAACCTCAATCACATTAGCGTTTGAAGTGGTGCAACTTGACTAAACCTTTTTCCAAACTTCAGGCCAAAAGAGCTGTTGAAATACAGCTGCACAATATCTTCCAGTATTGCAGACAATGCCTGAGGCCAGCCGGACAGATTTAGAGCCGGGCTACAGAGCTTCAAAGGGAAGTCTGCCAGGTGGAGAGAAGACAGGACTAGTCTATTTGACAACTGAACTGAAACAGCAGGGGAGCAGTCCTAAGAAGGTGGAGGAGGAAGGGGCATGCAAAGAACAGGAAGAGAATCAGAAGGTTAGGACAGGAGGGCCAAAGCTAACGTATATATGAAAAGGAATATATACTTCACAAAAGCGACTCAGAGCAGAAAATGAATAATGAATAAAATACAACCCCAAAACAAATCTCAGAGCAACTAGAGGGGAAAAAAACCCCCTAGAAACAGCATCTCTAACAGGCAGAGGAACTAGTGCCTGTGAATCTTATTCAAAGCCTGGGAAGAACATAGCTAATAAGAACTACATCAATAAAGGAATGTATACAAATAAAGGTAGTGAAAGCAAGTTTAGAAAAGGCTTTTAAAACATGCTCAGTTTGTAAAAGTTTCTCAAGGCAAAATAAATGTAGTCATTCCTTCCATTCCAGGCAGCTCTGCTTCTTCATCTCAGCTGCTTTTTCTATCCCTGTTTCTGTTGCCTTCTCCTCCTCTCCTAAAAATACAGTAGGGTTAAGTATCAGACAAAAACTATAGCCCTGGTTTCTCCTTGTGGGAGGCGATACAGCAGCAGCTTCAGAAGGCTTTCTTACTTCCAAGAATGTGTAGCTTGGAAGCCCCATCCTGCTGGGGCAAAAAGCAAATCCTTTCTTCCCCTCTGCAGGGTCACAGTGACAGCTAGAGTTTCTCAGTATCCTACCCAGCAAAATGCTGCTTTCTTTGAGGAATGGGACAAGCCCAGGAGGCTCTTTTCCTTCTTAATTTGGATTCCCAGCCTTCCTAGTAGGGGTTGTACCTTCAGAGAGGAGTTTAGCATTTCAGACTCTGCAGATGCAGGCTGACATCATTGTGTTAGTTGTCCAGAAACTGAAGTGAAATAGGTACAGCTGCCCGATTCTTGCAGGTAAGGCCCCAGACTGACTGCATCCATATTGAGCTGCTGGTCTGTGCCCCAACACACACAGTGAAGAAGCTGAGTGTCAGTACCATGCCCTATCTCTGTAACCTGGCATCTAAGCCCTTCCCACCCATGAACCAGGGCACTCCTGTACGCTCAATAGCTAAATTACTGCCCATGCCTTAGCTTAAGGCATGGGGACCTGGAAAATTAAAATGAAGCAGCTGGGTAAAGAGAAGCAAACATCTAGAAAGAACAGAATCTGTAATCTTATTTTAGGCTGGCAAATTCCCTTCCAGCCACAGGGAGGTCTCCTTCTATTTCCCCCCATCACGCTCAGTGCATTCCACTTGTTTCCCCATGTAAGATCCCCCTCAAAGCAGTCTTCTCTTCTTGTTCTGCCCTTGACGTGCTTGACACACATACCTTTGCTTGAAGCTGAAGCGCCAGAAGCAATTATAATGATTTGCACTATGCAGTCACATTATTGATGAAATCGTGAAGCTAGCAATATAAAATCCTTAGCTAGAGCAGAGAAACTCTGTCAATAGCACTATTTGGGTGCACACTCATTCTCTCTAGAAGGCTTCATCATTAAGTGCACTCAAGCTTACAAACCAAGAGGTATTCTGCAAATGTCAGAGTCACAAGGAATCTGAGAATTCAAACTCTTCTGCCTCCTTTGCCAGTATCACCACAAGGGCTAAGACACTGGAAGCAGAAACTGGACACAGAAAAATCTGTGTTCAGCTGGCCACATCATCTTCAAAGCTCTAGAAAGGGAAGGATGAGAAGGCATCAAACAGGTACAAACACATCCAAGCCCTAACAGTGGTTTCTGTTGCTGAATTTCCTTTCAACTCTTCCACAGCTATACTGGTCTGGGAATCCTAAAAAAGGAGACAGTAACACTTTCATTTGACTACTCTTCTGATCGCCATTGTGCTTCTAATCTACAGCAAGCTGAGGCTCTTCTCTGTCCTCCAAACATTCCCCTTACCAGCTCTCCCATATCAGATGCAATGCTTACCCGGCTTTTCCTTTACAGTCAATTCATTCTGACAGGAGCAGCCTCTGCTCTGCCATCCCTGCCTGCTTTCCTGCAAATCATTCACTTTTGAATCTATACCAGTTCCCTCTGACAGGATCAAGTCCGTGCTCACAGCACATCCCAGCTCCCGTGCTTGCTGCAGGCTCCATGGCTTGGTTGTCCATGATCAGAGACTGGCATGAAGCAGAGGAGTAAGATAAGACACAAGCCCTTTGGCATGAACGAACCATCGCTCCCCAGGACAGATCCCTGCCTGCTCCCTATTATCCATCTGGCCAATGCTTTGGAAATCTGAGATGAAAGCAAAAAATTATCATACTTCAACTCTCACCACATCTCTGATTCTCTTTGTTGTTACACAGAAAAGAATGGTGAGAATTCCCCCTCCTGCCACTTGTTTGCAACCCTTTTACATGCTTTATTTGCAGTCCAGTCCTTATTTCTTGTTTTTACTGTCTACTTTTATTACAGTTTTGTAGCATCTAGATTCCTGCTGTGGATATGCTTCAGTTTTATTCCTGCCTTTTTCTCTGGGGGAGAGAGAAAGATGAAAAGGTAAAATTAATTTGTTTCTTTGATAAGGCAATTAAGAAGCATGTTGGTCCCTCTGAGCATTTCAATAGCTTATCCCCTTTTCTAATATTTCTGAGAGGGGAATGAAAGCTGAATGCTCAAAACTGCCAGCACATCCACATCCTCTTCTTTGAAAATTGAAAACTGAGACTAATTATAATGGCTTGCACAGTCCAATTATGTTGCTGATCTAATCAGCTACCATCAGGAGAAGCGCTGAATAAATCTGCACAATAGCTGGGACACAGAGTCGATTTCTCCCTGGCCCAGCACATTTAAAGCATGCTTATCAGCTACATGACATTCCAAAAAAAAAAAAAAAAAAAAAAAAAAGATGCTGGCTGCAAAAAGTTTTTTGAACCTTCCCCTCCCATTTCTCTACCCACATCCCAAAGGAAAAAGCCTTTAATTTACAAAGAATTTTCTTTTTTTTTTTTTTTATCCTGGTCTGGGCACACCCTCTTGAAATAAAGCAAACATAAGCACTCGTTTCATTAGTTAGTGATTAAATATGTTATGAGACAGAAAATTGGCAGAGAAAGTAAGGCTGGTTTGTTCGTGTTGGTCTTACTGTTGGCTCTTTGTGCACACTCTGAGTGGCAGGCCTCTGTAAACTGAGCTCAACACTTGTGGGGTCCTTCTTCAACTCCACCGGGGGCCTGTCCCCTCTGGCTACTCCATCAAATTTAAGAGATCTGCTTGGCGAAGGAGTAAATATTACTGTTGTACACTCTTTATCCTTCTCTTCCATGCCGTTGAAATTTTCTCCATTCACGCTGACTTTTCCATCTACCTGCAGAATACAGTTAAATAAATATGCTGAGACAATTAGCATTGAAAGGAATTTAGGAAATTAGGACTTCAACATGACATGACAATTGTTAATACAGCCTGTGCCATTAGTGAAGGACAGAGCCAAGCACACATTTCATTCAATTGGCCACAACAGAAGAAAACCCTATTCCAGGGGTGTCAAACAAAATACAGGCAGAAGGTAATAATTCTTCTGGATTCCCTGGTTTCCCACATTTCGTTTTCCCAGTAACATACAGATACCCTTTGTGTGCACCACAGATCAATGGATTTTAAAAGAACAACAAAGATTTAGGTTAGATTTAGACCAAAACTGCTGGGTTTTGCATTGCCTCATGCAAGAGGCAAGCAGGTTCTCCAGGACTAATTACGCTGGTGAACTGAACTGCTATGTAGCCTGATGACCTCACCGCAGCGTTAGTAGACTGTGCTTTCTGAAGCACTGACATGTCAACTTTGAAGGGTCAGGAGCAGCAGAGTTCACCCACTTGTTTCTTTACTGTTCATAACTGTGAAGCAAGGAACCAACAAACAAAACTGGGCATTCCATCTTCTCCACAAGGCAATAAAATAAATAGCTGGTTTCCCAGAAAATGATTTTATGCAGTCTCCATGAAAAAGAGAGCACAGAAATAGTTTAACTACTTTGTTCTCAGGGTCAAGCTAGCTCCTTGGTGGGCGTATATTCCCACTGAGGAACCCTTAAGCAACGCATAAAATACAAAATAAGCTCTAGCTTCTTCCTCTGCACTGATACAGCTTCTTCTCAGGACTTTAATACTTCATAATTATGTTCTGAATGGAGGTGGCATGTAAGGACTTCCTTCAATTTGGAGGGCTGTCTGCAGAAGCCATGGTATACACGAAAAAAGTCTTGCTACAAGGAACTCACAGGCCATTCACCATAAGAGGGCCCAGCTGGATAGAGACCAGGAGAGGACCAGGTATCAGTAACACCGTATTGCTCCTGCCTAGCTACAACACAGATGTTTATAGGCTTGTCAGCAGGGGTGAGTTTTAAATAGATTTGAAGGAGGGCTTGGCTACTTTGTGCACAGAGATCCTTCCTTGCAAAACGGTCACCATGGGAGACAATGCAAAGGTGAGGGAGTAAATACGGACAGACTCTTCTCTGCTAATCACTGGACTTTGGGGGGAATAATGGCATCAATCAGTGATTTCTTAGAGAAGCTATCTGGGATATATATGGTGATTAGTATTTCGGGTTTCTCCACAGGTACTGTATAAACAAAAAACACATGTAAAAACAAGCTCAGAGGTAAGCCATTCCATGGGAACTTTTCATTTACTTCACTGTTACTGAAAACAGATGCGACAAGTGTCAAAACTGCTTTATCGAACTGAAACACAGTTTAAGAAAACAAAGTTCTTCCCATTTCATCCTCCCTGCCCCGCTCCTTATTTCACCATTTACTTATCTTCAGTACTTTACTTCTTGAGTAAACAGCTTGGATACCTCAAGAGCAGCACTCCAACTTAGTATATGCCATCAGTGCTAAGCTGAGGGCAAACTCCTCCTGCTGACTTCTTGTACACATGCATCCAGACGTCTGTTCTCTATCTGAGGGTGATTAACTAAGGGGCCATCTCCGAGGCACTGGGCATCCTCAGCCCTGACAGACGTGCAGGGAGGTGAAGGCAGTTAGCACCTCGCTCAGTCAGCTCCCAGGCGGAGGAGAAACAGCCCAGCTCCACAAGCAGTTTCACCCTTTCCGACTGCTTTTCAAATGAAAAGGTTCCCTCCCTTTCCTCACTGCCATCATCCACTCAACACAGTACCACTCCTAGGGTTTATTTCCAAACGCAAGTGTGAGCAAATACTGAGCCCCAAGTCTTCTGGGCCTGTGTGCTGGATTACCTACTACAGAGGCAGGTCATGAAAGATCTCAGAAATAAAAAAGCCAGGAAAACACTGGCAGGCTGCACCATCCATTTTAGTGTCTCTGTTTAGACTAAGACATTTCTCTATTTATATTAAGGAGAAAACCCAAATGTTTGAATGATCAGGACAGATGCCCTGGCTGCAGAGTTAAACAAACATACTCCTTTCCTTCTGATCTGGAGCAAGTCAACACATTGTCACCAGAGCCGAGAATCATTGACAGACTGGTGTTTCAAGGGAAAATAACGCTACAGCTATATGTGCTAGGGAGTGAGTCTTACTGAGACAAATCACATTCTTCCACATCAAGCAAAGAAGATCTAGACAGACTTTTAGTGGTGGTTAGCGGGGGGTAGAAGCATCCATGGGTTAGTTTTTCCCTGCACATGTGAACTATATATGCATTAACGTGAAGGTGATACACACATACATCTTGGTCCTCTGAGGAAAAAGGTGGCATGGATCAGGAAAAAACCAAAGATGCATGATTCAGTGATATCTAAAATGTAAACACTAGGGGAACATCAACTGAGATATAGGAGAAATAGGAATTACCAGTTTCACATTTCAGCTAGGAAACATGGTGGGTGGGATTCCACAAGAGCTGGGACAGACTTCAAGAAATTACAGACATCACAACATGCTTTTTCACTACCTATACAAAACTGACTTACTTTTTGAAAGTAAACAACCTGAATATACATGGTAGCAATGCTACTGAGACATTAGCAGGGCTGCAGGGACCCCTGCATGCCACTAGCAAAGTAGCAGATAGCAATGGCAGACACAAGGGGACCTAAACTCTACAGGCTGGGGGCACCCATGCCAGCAGGCTTCACACTGCTTACAACAAGGCTACAGTAAGACTTGAGGAAGCTCCAGTTTTGGTACAGGCACTGTGAGAAGCAGATTTCTTCTTGACTTACTCTGGCCTGTTCTCGCTAACACATCCCAGTTCTTTGCTTTCTCCATCATTGTTGCAGTATCTTACTCCTGCTCTCCACACCCACCCAGTCCAAAGATACACTCCTCAGGTTTTATATCCCAGTTTCAGTCTCTTCTCCTAGCCCCTTCCCCCAAAAATCTCATAGCTGGCTCCTTATTCCAGGCAGCCCTGCTTTCATCCAACCTCTCTTACTTGTTTTATTCCCATAATCTTTGTGCAGCTCTTGCAACCCAACGCAGTCACTCCCCCTCTCTCACCAGCAATCCCCAGTTACACTGCTGCCCCAGTACCAATCTGTTCCTCTAAACCTGCACGGACAGCCTATATCCCCTCTTTAAACCAGCGAAGCAGCTTTCCCCATTCATCCCTGCTGAGAAGCATGTTTAGGACAGAGAGTATCTTTGGGCAAGCTGGCTCTTGACTCTGAAGGAGTAGGGACTCTCCACACAGAATACATGCACACTGCAGTGTTTCAGAGGCTTTCATGATATGGCTGAACAGGACAGGCTTGTTTGGGTATGGCAAAAATCAGACCCCAACACAAAAGCCAGTTCAGGTCTTGCTCTGAAAGTCAGGGCCTTCATGCTCCCTGCCCCTTCCCTTTTGTTTAAAAAACAAAAACCCATGACAACATACTCTTTCCTAACCTCTTTCTCAGAAAACGCCTTGCTTTTTTTTTTTAGAGGTCCCCCTCTTCCTGTCTTTCCCCAAACAAATTTAGCCTGATGAAAAATGACCAGCACAAACATTCCAGTCTGAACAGGTCAAGTTTCTAAGAAGGCTGGTAACCAAGAAGAGACCACTAGCCTGGGCAGCACAGAGCAGGAAACTTGAGTTTTCTAATTATCAGAATGCTGCAATCATTTTCTACTTAATTGCATGAAACATTTATATGTTTGGATGATTTAGTGAGGATCTCCTTGCCTCCTGATTGACTTTGGGGAGTGCAACGTATCCTACCTTAAAGTTCTTTAAAACTTCCTGTGTGTTTTTGGGTTGCGAGTAAGGCTTGGGTGTCAGCATAGGCACAGCCTTGGAGACAACGCTTTTGCTGGGAGATGTGCGGCCCGTCGAACCACTGGGCTCTAGTTCAGTGGTGGGAACAATGGTTGCTTCAATGGTGGCAGTGAATTTTGGAGCAGGCAGCGACTGTTGCCTTAAATATCTCAAAGGATTTGGGTCTTTCAGTGGGGAATTTGGCTCCACTGAATGGCTTCTTTCCAGAATTTTTGGCATCTGCAAACGCTCAAGGACAGCTTCACTGATAGTGAATCTTTCGATGTACTGCTGGAGGATGCTCTCAGCCTCCTCCTGTGACTTTGCATTCTTGTATGCCTCATGAAGCTCCCGCTCTCTTCTCTCTCTGCAAGGGAGACAACACAAGAGAGACCATCGCATTAAAATTAATGCTGGAAATCACTCCTACCTCCTCTGCTCCATCAACAACCTTCCCTCTCCCTCATCCCAGGCCCGCAGGCACAGCTGCCCACAGTTACCTATCACCTCTGGAACCTATCACCTCTGGAGCACACATTTTCAGACACGCCACTGTACTTCAGTAAAACAACGTACTTCTCTTCCACAATTTCTCGGTAGGTTTTGATGCTTTTTCTGCGCTCATTTGTCCCATCTCCAGACAATAACCTTTCCATTTTCTTTCTCTCAGCTTCTTTTTTTATTAAATCCTGTGAAGCGCTCCTTCGACGACTCTTCCACCGAGCCAGGTCCTGTGAGAAAAGGAAGGCACCTGAATGCACAGTTGCAAATAGGTAAAAACTGGCCACAGAAACCAATGAATCCAGCCAGCCACTTTGCAATGCTTGTTCCTGGCTGTGGACCAGGCTCCCATTGCCTGCCAGCAGTGATGTTTATTTTAAAGAAAAAAGGAGATTATACCCTAAAATGCAGATGTTGCCTGACTGATTTTTCTCCTAACAGCAGGAGCCAGTAAGGATTGCATAGCTCCACTGGTGTATTTTCTTTTTAGCTTTGTAGCGTTGTAGAAGCATGCTAGGTAGTAAAATTGGGAAATTTGGGCTAAAAGGACCAGTCAGGGCATTAATTTTCATTACGGCCAGCATTATGGACAAAACCCAATTCCCCAGAAAGATGAAGTAGAAAAATTGTTTGGTGAAGAATTTTAATAATCAGATGCGTGGGAGGCAGGAGTTCATTGGAGGAAGGGACGTTGTTTCACCATGAACTACAGCTGCACTGACAGTCTGCCTTGGAGAGCTGATAGTCCCATATTTTACCCATGCTATCAGCCAACTACATGCAAGCATGGTTGATCCAGGCTTTTGGTTTTTTGACAGAAAAATCCAGTGCAGCATCCAAACTTAAATCCTTCCTCATGGGAACCCTCCAATATTTTGGACCCAGATCTGAGCAACTCAGATTAGAGACTAAAGTGGTTCACACCTGGTTGGTGTGGAGACATGACAGAGCAAAAAGCCTGTGGTTTGTATCCAGCTACATAGATATGTCCTTGTTGAAGTAATGATCTTACTCTTTCTGGAATCTGCCTGCCCAAAATTGTCCAGAAGATCCACTGATGCTGGTTCTTTACCTTGCAAAACCAGCCTGACACTAAACCAGAGAGTCACAGGAGATACCTGTTACAGGCACCTGTCTTGCATCCTGCTTAGGTTATGAATTCACAAGTCCTAGAGGGTACAGAGACAAGATCTTTTTCAATGTATAAGTATTACAGTAAAGAAATTCCTAAGCTGTAAAATTTCTTTGCAGCCAACTAGTAAAGGAACAAAATCTTACATGTAAAAAATAACGTCTACAGAACTTCTGCAAAGAAAAAATAACTTCCTAGGAAACTGTAGGGCCACATTTGTCATTAACTTTACAACATCAGGAGATTAGTATACAGATTATATTTCATACACTCTAACAAATTCTGGTTTTAATAAAAAACAGAGATTCTGTACACACACTCAATTCAAAGGCTATTTCATTAATTACATGGTTTCCCAAATATTTTAATTGCATTTTTATTGGTAAACAGCAGAAGGTACTACAAGCATAACTTATTTTATTAAAACCAGGAACAAACCTTGTCACTTCTAATTTAGCTTAAAACCACAAATTATTGACGTTACACTCAAGGGAATGCTCATTAAAGTATTTCTTCACATGACCTACATATATCAGTCTATAATCCCCTTCTTGAAACATAGGCCTTTCATATTCCTCAGTTACTAATTATTCTCATTGAAGTACCAAAGCATTTCTTCAGCTACTCCCACTATTGCCTATTGTTTGGAAATTAGTTTTTCATTAGCAAATTTCATAACATAAGCCCTCCTCCTCTTTTTGCAATTAAAAACCAGACATGTTTATCTTTTCCAGCTCTGATGCTTTAGAATAACAATAAGAAAAAAAAAAGCCATGAAACTGTTAATTGTTGGCAAATTTACAGCATGGGCATATTAAAAAATATCCGACCATGAATGCAGTGTCGTCTCCATAAAGCCTTTTGAATGCCAAGAACATTCCAGTATGGGCATTTTTAGTGGCTCTTCAGAACTTTTAGTTCAGTGTAGAAGGTACTGAGGGCCTGGAAAACTTATGCACTTTAGCTCAGAGGATTTTCCATTCAACAGCAGAGAGTTCTCAAACCTCTTGAATGCCTTTGGACTCATTCTTATCTCTGCTGGGAAATTATGGCTTCCCACACATACAGACCTCTCAGCTGAAATCCTTCATTGTTCTACTACAAAAAGTTATTTCTTAGTTGTATATACTGTTCTTTTTTGGACTTTTCCTTGAATTTTCTACCAAAAACCTCTCTGAGATGTTTCACAGTAGCTGTCCTTATAATGGGAAATTACTGTTCCAGCTGCCTGAAGAGGTCTGTGCGGTTTTTTAAATTAAAAAAAGAAGAAAGAAAGAAAAAAAAGCCCCAGGTTCCTAATTTAAAATCAGTCTTTGGGACTGAACAGGATTGATACTGAAACTCCTGATACTAACTTACCTGCAGATCACACTTTTCTGTCCTTACAAATTTGCTGAAGATAATACCAAATTCTAGGACAGCTTAAAAAAAAAAATTGAAGAAAGAGGGTTTGGAAAGGACTTGTAACCCAAGCAGGGCATAGCTAACTCGAAGGGTAATTTGTTTGCTTGGACAAGATAGAAAACATTAGCATTTTCTGTATCTATGCAAATTTATTAAAGCCAAGTCCAAGCTATTTATTCACTGTCCTGCTTAGTCTTTTATTTTGTCACTTTGGGCATTTACTAATTATAAAAGTTAGAGAAATCTGCAGTTAGAAGCTGTTCTGCTTCCATGTTTACCTGATCACAGTTTAATTACATTTTTTTTTAAAAAGCAAAATACATGGTGCACAGGCAAAGGCACCAGAAGACCTTGTATTCCGTAATTTACATCAAATTATGAACTTCTATGCTTTTAGCAACACTCCATTGGGGAAAAAAAAAAAGGGAAAAAAACTCTTGATTATTTTAGTGCTAGAGAACAACTGTATATTTAGCAGGTTGCACTTTTTTGCCTAGCTAGCTGGCCTGAAGGCCAACACTGCAGACAATGTTGCATACTCACATCTTGCCACCTGGTCTCATCCTCTTTCAGCTGGTTGTGTACATTCTGCAGTTTCTCATGGCGAGCTTTGCTATGAGGCTGAGTCACAGCTTCTTCTTCACATCTCATGTCAAACATGCTCATACTCCTAAACAAGGGGGAAATAAGAATTAGTGCAGCGTTATTTAGAGGCTTATATTCCTTCAGCTTGTTAGAGCTAAAGCCACATGAGGGTGCTACGGCAGAATCAGACACCTGCACCGTTACGAAGCTCTCAAAAGCAGCAGTCCCCTAGAAGGACCAGTTAGCATCCCTATGGCTTCCACACAGTACTTCAGGCATTATACTCCTCAACTTTCTCTTGTTTTTATTAGTTGACTACAACTTTGCCTCTCACTAAGAAGCATCACTAACATTACGCCTCCATCAATTCTTATTGAAATAATTCAATTCAGAGCAGAGTTCAGAACATTTTACTTTCTGAACATTTGTTTCCCAGTGAGTTTTCAAGACCCCTCCAATTAACACCGCAGACAGAAGTTTCCATTTCAGTGTAAAACAAGAGAGGCTTGAGAAGTATATTAGGGGCAGCATGGCTGGCTAACTGTTATTGCTACAAAACCAGGGACAGCCTGCCCAGAGAAGTACACAGAGCGCAAACAGCACGGTACTTCCTTCTCTCCCCTCCCTGCCTGGAAGAAACTCAATGCTATCAGCACCAACTTATTAATACAGCTAACCTAACAAGGAAAAGCTGACGTTCAGGACAAAAGAGTTGCTTTCTACACACTCTATTTCTGTCCCTGACCTTTGGAGAGTTAAAGGAAAAAAAGGTCATGGTTTGATATTATACATCCATTTATATTATATAAAGAACTTCACATGAAGATAACATACACACTACTCCCCCCCTACTACCTATTATTAGTAAAACATGACCTCAGTTGTGCCATTAAAAGAAAAAAAAAAAGCGCCATGCAGTTGCACATGAAGGGATTTCACAGCAGTCTTCAAATGATCCTCTGTAGCTTTAGGTGAGCCAACAAGCCAACTAGCAGGAAAAGCACCCAGTGAAGATAAAACCGTAGGCAACTGTGTCCACAAAAATCAAAGTGAATAGACACGGAAAGCTGTGCATATATATATTTAGCCAACATTTGTGTTCAGGCAAGCAAAGATGGGAATGAACCACTCTCAAGGGAAAACTGAAAGGTCTGGACAGTGGATGGAAAAAGGACATGCACAGATCCCATCCTGTTAGTAGGTATTTACTCAGAAATGAAGGACAGAATACACATCCTATTGCCTTTAAGCATGAACATTGAGGTTAGCATACTACCGTGCTTCACCCCTTAAAAAGCATGAGTGCTGAGGGGTACACTAATTTGGGTTTCTTTGTGGGTAGTTTAAGGGTTGTGTTGCTCAGGATTGGATTGGAGCACTCCTAAATAACAGAACCTAAAGAGATGGCAAGTTTTGTTGTTTCTAAAACTAAAGGCATACCACCTACTAAGTAATATTTCAATATCAGTCATATTTTGCGGACTGGTGAGGTGGGGCAGGAGATGCTTAACTTGTAAATAAAGTCACCCTTAAACGGTTTATTCCAGTTTAAGAGCTTTTGAAACTCACACTAAGAAAAGCCTTTAGCGTTAAGTATTTTCCACCTTGTGCCTACTGGGTCAAGCTGGTTGTGTAGCTCCTTTCTTGTACCATTCCCTCATGTCAGAGAATTTTTCATTCACATACAGCAGAAGAAAACAGAGGACCTGAAATGGTGGTAACTGGTTCTAGTAGAGTGCAAGAGTACTCACCCTCTGCCATTTGGGATGGGAAAATAAAAATACTTTCTACCAAGAGTCCCCTGACGCCCTAAGGAAAAGCTAGTATTTATTCCCTGTGTTCACTCAGGTCTCTCAGGGCGCACACACAGCAAAACCAAAGGTTTTACGGCTATTAACAATGCAATAAAAGAAGTACTCTGGAAAAGGCTTCAGCCTAGGCCAGGAATCAAACTATACACTACAACTCCACATGCACCTTCTACTCTAGTTGTCACCTCCTGCTGCTGGGCATTCACTGCCATGGATAAGCTCTGGGGATTGTATCCAAACTCTGCCTGGAAGCAAGAGGCCTTTCTGCTGACCAGTGTACCAGACCTGCCATTCTAACAAAGATCGAGGAAAAACCACTGTGCAGACCAACACTGTATACTGGGGGGCTAGATCTTTGGGATGATGTGATTTTTAAGTTATGCTACTTTATTCTTGCAAATTACAGTTGTTCTTGTCAGTGATGTCATGCAGCAATTCTTTTTTTTTTTTTTTTTAAACAGGGCTGAACAAGCGTTGGATTAAAAAAAGTCCTAAAGGACTTGAGTGTTCAGACTATTTAAAAGTGAGAAATATGGTAAAAAACTTCTTTTTATGAGGAAGTGTTAAAAATTCTTATGCAAAGCATTTATTATGTAGCTACATTATCATTTTACAGGCATACCAAGACTTAAGAAACTCCAACAAAACATTAAAAGCAACAGGCTGGCTGGCTGGCTAAAGAATCACACTCTAGTAAACAAATAGTCAAAAATCTCAGCTCACTATAATTTGCTTGTCAAGCTTAAAGTATAAAGCATAAGCCTAAACTCACACTGGACTGTCATGCTACCACCAGAATTCAGCCCTACCTCTTCAGGAGATGGAAATGGGGCTGATCAGCAGCAACACACTAAGTATTGCCTCTTCTGGACCTCGAGACAGACCGGGGCTGATGGCAATACCTAGCGTTCCCTAACCAGTGAAGGGAACTTTGTCAATCTAATAAAGGAGTTTCTAGTTTTGCTGCTGGAATAAACAGCACCTAGTCTAAGACTGAATTCAAGATACAGAGTTTTCAAAGGAGACTTGACAAACATTGTGGAAGCATTTTAAATGTCAGTTCAATTTATTTCTCCTACTTGAGAGCCATATTTTATTAGATTCTTCATAAGTGCTTCGTCTTCAGAAGGCAAAACACAATCTTACATTTATAAGAACTTAAAAGACAGTTCAGGAAAATAGTTGCTCTGTAAACTGTGGCACATCTGGAAAGGATGACAACGAGGCTTGAACATTTATTGTTTTGCCTTTTAAAATAAAATCAGAATCAATGTGGAGTAAACAATATGGTTTATTCATCTTTGCTACTCTCACTTTATACAACCAAACCCATTGCAATGCCTCTTTGAAGGCATCTCCATCTATCTTCTCTTATGTTTACCTTTAATACAGACATGCAAAAATGTGGGGAAACAAATGAACAAATCAATCAGGTAGGCTTTCTGAAATGGCAGGCAAGTCCCCATTGTGAAGTATAACACTTCTGTGTTGCTATGCTCTATCTCATCTCTTCGTTTGACTGAACAGATTTCTACTGCTTGAAAATAGTCACGTTTACTCTGTAGTCAGAGGACACGGGCTTTGCTCAAGCATAAAGGTATTACAGATCTTGTAAAGAATATTTGGTCCATGATTCTAGCCTTTATCATTAGAGGAAAGGGTGAAAAATTATATGAGTCTCTGCATATACTTGTTATAAAAAAACCCTCTATGCTGTTTCTATTTTGTGATTTAATCTGTGAGACAGAGAAGGTCATGTGCATTTCTGTGAACAGAAGGAGGATATTAAGGACATTATTATGTGGGTGCCTGCACTTTGCAAGAATAGCTGATACTTTCACAGAGCTTTCTAAATGACATTGCATACTATTCTGAACTACAGTTTACATATACATACACAATTAAAATGTTTGAGTGCAATAAATGTCACAGTCCTACGTCTTCTGTCAAAAGTAAAGCATCAAGGTGAAGAGCTTAAAAAATGAAGTTTAGTACATTATTAAATTAAACCCAACCTAGAAGGGATTCAAGAGAAAGTTTTTAAAAGACAATAAAGGAACAGCTGAAGATGTATTTTCCTGGAAATTATTCTGAAGATCACAATGGATTTTATTTTGCTTTGGGATTTTTTTTTTCTTCCTGTATAGGTCATAATTTTTTTCCTCAACACCCAGCCCAGCCCAGATTCAACCCAACCCTCTTTACCTATAGCTAATTAGAGGCAATGGTAATTCAGAAGAAAAACAAAAGAAAAGAAAAGAAAAAAAGAGGAAACAATACTTTAAGCAACAGCTGGACATTAGTCTTATGCCCAGTTTTTATGGGCTTTTATATAAAAATTATTTTTAGCTGCAATGTAAGCCATATTGCATTCCATTTTTCAGTGCTTTTCTGAAAAAATTATTTGCTGGAACACTGCAAAATAACGATGAGGCATCAACTGCATTTTAAATTAGTAGAAAGACGGGAAAGCATGCAGTGTAAGTTGTTTAAAATAGAATCTTGTGAACACAGGACAACTTACTCTGCGTCATCAGACACAGCAGTTCTGGGGCCGAATCTACAAGACCAAATATAAAATTAGAGCGTTGATAAATACATTAAGTAGTAATTGCAATTGGACCCATACTATTTGGGTAATTGACACTTGAACATCCAACCCGTACTAGTAAAGCTGACCAAAAAAGAATCATACTGTTCAGGGATTATGTATTCAGCAAACAAGACTTACCTAATCATCTGGAGGTCAAACTACTTAAGAACACCACCCATCCCTCCCTGACCCCATACTAATGCTCCCATTATAAAAATCTGCTGAAGTATACCTAAAATGGGTGTAGAAAATAGTTATTGAAAACAGACAATATATTAACATTTACATTAAGTGCCACACATGTGATGAATGGAGACAAAACTTAATATTCCACAGCAGTGCTCAGAATCACCATTACTGAAGCATGGAAGAGACAAATATAGGGAGAAGAAAGTGAGCCACAGGATTTCCTTTTTGTTGTTGTTGGGTTTTTTTGGGGGTGTGTGTGTAGCTGATAAAGGTACTGGTAATACACAAGTCAGTGTCATTCACTAAAGTGGCAGTCTTAGAATCATAGAACACTGCAACATTTTCTAAGCATGGAGAAGCAAGATACACATCTCTAAAAAGGCAGAGTCCAGCTGAATCTCTGCTATTCATAAACCTTTTCTGCAATTCAACATAGATACTGTAATCAAGTACTTCCTTTCAGTTAGCTTTCATTTCAGTATTTCAAGTATTTAGAAAGAAAATGCATTACACAACTATTCTGTTTGTTTCTAAAAAGTGTATTACTAACATACAGTATTTTAGTCTGGACTGAAAGCACACCAGCCAATGCACAACCTGAATTCTTAAGTGTGCACACAGGGGCGTACAAGCTGTGCGATTCACACCATAGAGAGCTCACGTTTGCAGATGCTCATCCTTGGATGACAATGTTTCCGTTTTGTTTTCCTCAGAAACCTCCTGAAGCTTAGACGTTTGACCAAGGTGGACTTCATTAAGGTTACCTTCACCCACTTGGGCAGTACAAACAGTCTCATCTTGTTCTGCAGGAGGGAGGTTGCTTTTTTCCTGCCCTTGCTGCTGTTCTTGCAGTGGTTGTATTACAGGTTTTCCAGAGCTATTAATGCAGACTTGTGGACATTTTTCAGGCCTGAGTGAGCCAAAGGCAGCAGTGCAGAGATGTATTAACCAACATTTGAAAAATCACATATACATAATGAAAAGCATAACTGCTTTATATTAACCCCCCCCCAACCCTAATAGCTGATAGGTGACAAGCTACGTGAGGCAGGTGCACAAAACATAGTTTTCATAGAGTCAAATGCTTGTACTTCCATTCCTTTAAGTCAGAAACACAAACTGTCCTGAACCCAGCAAAGATTAAAGTATTCAAGTACATATTTTAACTAAACTATTCAACTTAAGGTCTTCTCAACACCAAGCCACTGTTCAATTCTATGGTAGGTGACAGTTTTGCTTCTCCTGCCTGAGCTGTATACTAGTTTTTCATCTGTGTATGCACAGGCACATGCACATCCTTCTCCTCATGTATGCTGAAGAGGTTGATGGATAAGAACATTTCTGCCCCTGCTTGCATGTGGCTTAACCAGCCAATGATAACGCTGTTCAAAGGCTTAAACCACCAACTTCCCCACATAGCCTCACCCATCTGAACAAAAGTGTTTAGAAAGACACTGAGCATTATCAGGAGGGATCTTGGGATCTCTAGATATCCTGTTTAGAACTCACTGGCACCAACTAAGCCATAAACAAGCATCTAACCTACCCTATCCAGCACCTATATTTCTAGCTGGAAACATTTGTAATAATTAGCCCATATTTAACCAGAAACCTCTGGAAATGTAATGCAATATTGCTATGTATACCCATTTCCACATGCTGTTAGAATTTTGCATCTGCTCTGAATTTTTACAGGGCTCTACCAAAAGGGCCAGAAACCCTGCGTTGCCGCCTTCTGAGGGGGAAGAGTCGGCACAGAATCGAGGACGAGGACGAGCATGGAAGAAACAGCTGCTGGGCCAACAGCAGCTCTTCCAGATCAAGAGGTCTTGACAAAGAGCCCACAGGGCCAGCTACAAGGGAGAGAGAGCAGCACAACTTTCTTACCTCATAGTTTTCTTCTCAAGTTCTCTAGCTGTGCCCTGCTTGTTCTGCTGCTTTGAAAATGGCATGGGAAGGAACTGCTTAACACTGGGCCCAGGCTGTTTCAGAAAAGCTCCAGTTCTTCTGGCCAACATGTCATCTCTTTGTGGGTCTGGAAATTTCACTTTGTTTTCTGTTCCACTGCTCTGCAGCTGAGGGATTTCAAGCTCTTCTTGGCTCTCTTCTCGTGTGACAGTACTGCTCAGAGAGACAAGTGATACTGTTCCATGACAATGCTCACTTGTGCAGCCCAAAGGCAAGTGGCTGCTCAGGCAACGTGGGGTACTGTTACTCAAAACACACCTGCAGAGTGATGGACAACTAGGTATCTTTAGCTACAGCACAGGGAGTGAGAGCAAGAGGAAACTATTTTGAATGCCACACTTATGTAGGTGATTCATTAGAAGTTGGGGATTGCATAAAAATGTATGTGAGGAATTATTCACTTGGAAGCTGGCACAAAAATCTGGACAAAGCACCATGGATTGCAGAAGTAATCCCCCCAAAAGATGAAAGACTGTTTTCATGCTGAACAGCAATTAACAGCTGAAGTACTTAAATATTATGAAAGAAAACAGACTGTTTTATGTTCACAGGATACATTCTTGTAAGTAATTTCATAAAACAGAACGCATGCCATGATGAACGAGTAAAACACATCTTTAAAGGCCGTGTGAAGAATGGAACAATATTGCTGACTGATCCAAGCTAACACCACACACAAACCAGGCATGAAGCTCAGAGGGACCTGCTTCTGTTCTCTGACCTTTCTGCTTCCCGTGGAGTCTTCAAATCCTTCTCATGAGCTACTGCCTCCCCTTGCCGCTGCTGCAGCAGATGAGGAGCTACTGAGAGGGGAGGACAACGTATGGGAACGGGGCTAGTGGTACGCCTCTGAAAAGTTCCCATCCTTCTAACTGTATCATCTCCTTCAACGTCTGGGAAATGCCCGTCGCATTCTTCCTTGATGCTTTCTTGCTGTTCGTTCAAACTGCAGGGGCTTTGTTTCTCAGAGACGATGCCAAAAGCTGGGACAGGTGATGGCATTCTCCTGCAAGAGTCATCTGTACCTGACTTGGCTACCTCACTAGTGATGAGATTGACAGGAGGGATGAGAGAGACAAAATGTTCTCAGGTCAAATGAAAGGTAAGAAAAGGAGTCCTCCAACTCAGTTTGCAAATGCTTTATAAACACACAAACTTAGCTGAATGAATTGCTTGCTGAATGCATTCATTAAAATTTCTTGCTACAGCCACAGACTAAGCGATTAAAGAAAAGCCAAAGAAATGTAAGCTCTGTTAATATGTTAACTTCCCAGAGCTGTAATTCTCCTCCAGATAAATGCCAGGAACACAGAGCACCAATACACCCTGGCTTCCGCACTACATCTTCAAAAAGAAAGTAAATCCGTTAAGTTTGAAGAAAGCATTTTTTCAACATCAGTAAGGCCAGCAAGCTGAACAACAAATTCCTAATGTGCTGAAAGCGGGCAGAGCGAAGCTGCTGGAATTAAAGAGGCAGAAAAATCTTGAACGACAGCTCAGACTCTGAGACACCAGTGATTTCACCGCCCGTCAGAAATTTTGAGGCAAGCTCTCGGAAGACCTTCGCACTGTGTTGTTTTGCGTAACCCTAAACACGTTAAGATACTGTGAAGGCGTCAGATGACTTCTGAAAAAGGCCGTGCGTGCAAACAGCTCTTAGGTCTATGCTGCAGCCCACCCCCATGCAGATCAGCATCTGTCAAGAACAGGTCTCACTGCCAGCTCAGCAGTGCTTCCTAAGCCACACCAAATACCTGGACTCATTCTGTGGCTTAGATACTTCATTGCTGTGTTCAGCAAACCCAGGACTGCCAACGGTGGTTGAAGGAGAGCTTTCAACGCTGGAGTGACTCTCCACACAGTCTTCCTTGCTTTCCTCTTCTGTTCCACTCTTGGATGAAGCTCTGCCAATAACGAGCTTGTCCCATTTCTGTTGATCAATCTCAGTTACTGGCCCAAAATGCACAAACTTCTGCTTAGGGCTACCAGCCTTTTTATTTGCTCTGGCTTTGCGGACAGCAAAATCATCGCTGGCTGCTGCTTTCACTGTGATTTCTCTTGGTGGAAGAGTGTCACTGGGACGTTTGAAATCTTCTTCACTAGTCAGAACGAGGAATAAAAGAATACCCCCAACATCAGACCCCAGAATAAAGCAAATTAAATGCTCCTAAGGTTTTGAAGGGATTTTATTTTAAAATTCAAGGACCCAGGTACAAACAGCTGTGGCCTACTGAGGCCCAAATGACAGATAAAATCTGAAGATACCGCAGACCTGTTGGGGAAACTCTGGGAGCACATCCATGGAAGCTCTTCCTTAGGGGAAGGAACGTAGCATACGGCCCATTCCACACTCACCCTAACAAAGCCACAGTTCCCTTACTTGCTCACGTAGAGCTGGGCCACGCGCTATGTGAGACTGCATGGCACCGGTACACCCACCTTGCCATGGGCATGAGAGCACCAGCAAGGGAAATTCACTTATGCTAAACCAAGGAGACTGAATCTTGATTTTAGTAAATCACCTCAAAAGTAATGGAGAGACTACTAACACCTTTGAGATAAGAGAATGGCTGAGTTTGATAGTTTGTATTAGAGCTAAAATTACATACAGTAACCACATTGATAGAAGAATGCCTGAACAGATGGCCACCTTTAACTGGAAAACAGTACACACCTAAACAGGAAGGCTAGGAGTTCTCCTTTCCTACTGGAGTCACAAATCACCTGCATGCTCATCTCCATAGTGAAATAGCTTAGAGTAACTGATTTATACTGGCTCCCTTTGTGGAGGTCTAATCTACAAAAAGAGC